CCCTCCCGCCATCCACACCGCTCCCGGATACTGATATCCCCACTCCCCATTACCTCTCCTTCCCTTTCCACGTGTTTTACGGATGAAGCGCCACGCTCTGAGTTCGCCGCAGTCGCTGCCCAAACGTCGGGCGCTGGCGGCGCTGGCGTACCGCGCCACGGCGTTGGCGCTGTGGATCGCGTGCGGCCAGTGTGCCACCCTGTTTGGCCTCGTCGCCACCGCGATCAAGCTGTTTGACCACGCCGTCGCCCACGACGACACTGACCTCGATGCCCTCTGCGGGTTGGCCCACCTGCTCCGCCTCAACGATATTCTGGCCAACGAGACTGTCGGCAGCCAGCGCGCCATCGACCGCCTTCAGCGGGCGCTTGAACGGCTGCCACCGTTGCTTAACCTGCCGCGGTTGTTTAAAGAGTTGGCCGAGTGCTACTTGCTCATTGGCCTCAACGAACAGGCCCACCTGGCGATCCAGACGGCGATCCAGCTCCAGGATAACGACCCGCTGTTGTGGCTCCTCTCGGCGCAGACGCTTATTCGAGTGGGCGCCCGCCAGCCCGCCGGCGCCGCCCTTAACCACTGCCTCTCGCTTTTGCCGAAACTGATGCGTGATTTCAACGACGCCGACGTCGAAACGGCGCGCGCCGCTCACGCCGAACTCGCCGCGATCGCCGCTGCCGACGGCAACATCGAGTTGCTGATCGCTGAGCTCACTGCCACCTTGGCGCTCCCGGCACCCCCCTTGGTTCGCCTTGACGAGCACATTGCCCTCTGGTGCGCCCTTTGCACCGCTAAGGAGCGCGCCAACGATATCTCCGGCGCTATCGCCGCCTGCGAACAGGCTCAGCAAGCGGTGGGCAACTCGCTGCGAATTGTGATGAACCACGCCTACTTGTTGTTGCTTGATGGCCAAGTCGACAAGCAGCGGGCTACCAAGGCGATCTCCCTCCTTAGTAACATCGTCAATCTTGACAAAGAACGCGATGCTCTTGGCTTCGACGGCACCCAACTGTCAGCGCAGTCGCCCAACCCCGCGGCCGCCGGCGCCGGTGGCCAAGGCGCCAGCGCTCAGGGCGCCGACTTTTTGCCGTGGTACTTATTAGGTCGCGCCTACCTGGTTTTGGAAGAACCGCGCTTGGCCTACGACTGCTACCAAGTGGCGCTCCGCAGTGCCCTGAACTCGCCCATCACCTGGCTCGCGGTGGGTAAGCTTTACCTTGAGCTCAAACAGCTCCCCGATGCCCTTGCTGCCTACTCGCAAGCGCTTCGTCTTCAGATGGAAGAAGGCTCTCCCGGTACCGCTACTGCCTGGGACGGCTTGCTGTGTGTCTACGAACGCTGTGATGGTCAGCTTGGCGATGCTGCTGATGCTTGTCAGCGGCTGGCGGCGTGTTATCGCGCCATGGGCGACGTTAAGCTGGCACAATTTTTCGACGAGCGTGCGGCTCAGCTCCAGAAAGCCGCCGCGAACCAGGCGCCGGTGCCCGAGTTACGGGAACCACCTAATGTCCCCGAGTTCTTGCTCCGTGACTTGGTGGCGCTCTTGCCCAGCGAGCGCATCGCTTTCATCCAGGGTGGCGATGCCGCTAACGCCAATGCTGGTGCTAATGGTGCCGCTGCCCGCGCCCCGATGACGCCGTCGGCGCTGATTCAGGCGCCTCCCCCGGCTCCCGCCACCGCTACCGCCACCCCCTCGGCGACGACGACCACACCCAGCATCCGCGCTTTGACGAACGGACCCGTGCCCACTACAGCACCGCAAGTGCCGGCGCCTGCGCCCTCAGCGGGGCCTCCCAACCCGGCGCTGGCGCCGCGTCCGGCACCGGCGTCGGCAGCGGCCACTCCCAGCGCCCCCTCGGCGGCGCCAGTGCCGCTGGCGTCTACCAACGGTCCGGGAGCGCCGCAATACCCCCTTCCCCTCCCGGCGTGGCTGCCCCAGCACCAGTACCGTCAGCAGTACACGGCTACCCCCCAACAAGGGACGCCGCAGCAGTCGCCGCCGGCGCTCCATCATGGCCACCCCCAAGGGGCGCCGCAACCGCAGATGGCGCCGGCGCCACCTGGTCCTCCTCACTTAGCGCCGGCGCCGGCGCCCCCCGGCCACCCCCAACCGCTCCCAGGCCAGCCGTACTACTTCCCCGGAGCGCCGCCGCAACAGTACCCGCCACCGCCGCCCAACGGGCTGTACCCGCCGCCGTACTATGGCAGCTACGTCCCGGTGCAATACCCGGTCAACAACTGGCGTTAATTATCGAGAGCGCATTACATATAGCATCGGGTGGCAAGATCAATCCACCCACTTGGTCAGCTTTGGCTTAAGTGTTGCACTGGCAACACCAGCAGTGCCATCGGAGTCTGTAATAATATAATGCCAGAAATATCATGATTGTAAAGATACACACCCAAATGTGCATTTAACCCAATACGAAACAGAGAGCTTTATCCTCGAATGAAAAATGATGATCTCATATAACTTATGAATAGAGAACGCTGGTGAGGTAACATCATATAGTGTTATCACAAAGAGTTACTGGTTGAGAGAAATCATCGTTTACAACCCCTTAGTTTGAGGTGGCATGGAGTCGATCCATGCCTCAATTTCTTGCCACGTCCACCACACCACTTTACCCTTTATAGGTTCCAGCTTCTCGACAGAAACGCCAAGGTTCGCTAGCGCCTTGATCGCTGACAGCCCCACTTTATCGTTAGCGCCGTCGCGTATGACAATGCCACCGCCATTGGCGTCGATCATCGCCAAGATGTCGGTCCTCAGATCCCCCACCATCGACCACTTGACCGAGGTAGCGTTGAGCTGGGCCATAACCCGCGCCTTATCTGCTCCCGTGTGGATTTTGCCCCACTTGGCGTCGGCAAACATGCCCGAGGCAAAGTCGACCTCATTGGTGATATAGTCAGCAATGCGAATGCCATAGTGGTTCATGCTTCGCTTCATCCACCACAGACTCCAGTTAAGCGACAATATCACCAACGGCACCCCGAGGGCGTTACACTTGCGAGCCGCTGATATAAACCCAGGTCGAAGCTGAGGAAGCGGTTCTTCGGGGGGATGGCGAGGCCACTGGAGCGCCCGCCCCAGTTCAAGGCGAGCTATCGACGCCGCCTCAATGGGAGCTAGCGCCCGCTGCCACTGGCGTTCCTCGTCAATGGTGGTGGGTCGAGGATGGTCGAGGGCAAACTGGTTGTAGTCATCGAGGTAGCTGGCGGTGTAAGGTGCGAGGGGCTGGCTGGCGACTAAGGACAACGTGTCATTAACAGTGATTGTTTCATCCCAGTCAATCACCAATCCGTGGGTGGCGTGATGGTGTTGTGTTTGAAGCAACGTTTCATCGCCAGCGGGGGCCATTTGCCGCGCACGGTTAAGGGTTCGCACCCACTCGCCACCACCACCAACACCATAAGGTATTTTTGTCATTGACATTGAGGAAGATAACCCAAAATAAAAGCGGGGATATTCATGGACTAACAACAAGATTCAAAGCCTACTCAGGTTTGCTACATGTCAGTCAATTATCGGTGAGGCGACGTGGCCCGATCATGACCATTGCCACCGTGAGGGTGGGGTGGTTTGATGAAGTGGATAAAGCCGAATACGGCAAACAGGCCCATGTACCGGAGTGCTGCGGGAACTCCGGGTAGGTGTGACCGGGTTTACTTTTAAAGTACAACTTTCCTGGACAAGCAATAGTGTGGGGTGGGACCATGTCCCGAATAGGCAGGAGGGGCGGTGGCATGTGACCGCCACCTGCAATTATAAACCGGAAGCGAGATCCAGCACGTTTGCCTAACCCCAAAAAAAGCCTCCACCACTCTCCCCTATGGCCACCGACAATAACAATACCACCAATACCGCCCCAGCGAAGACTGACGTGTCGGACATTCTGCCCACCAACGACCCCAAGCAAGCCAACGAGGCGTTTGCCGCCAACGGTATCCCCTCCGTCGAGCAGCAACAGCTGGCGCTCGACACCGTGCGCAAGCTCTTGAACGACGCCGGCGTCGACCCTCGTTTCGACGAGTACGTCACCGCCACCTTCAGCTACATCGCGGGGGCTCTCTACAAGATGTCTACCGCCACCGACAAGGAGGCGGCGCTGAAGGAGATTGCTGAAGACTTGAAACAAAAGTGGGAGACCTGGGTCAAGGAAAGAGAAGCTAAGGAAGCCCAGAAGAAGGCCGACGAGGAAAACGCCGCCGCCGCCGGCGACAAGCTGGATAAGCCCGCCGTCACCGACACCACCACCCCTGCCAAATAGATGTCGCTGGGGTGTGTGGCTCCGCCTGGCTGCTTCGGCCCCCCCAAGCCTCCGAAGCCTAAACCTTACCACGCAGGTGTAGAGAGTTAAATTTATCGTCAGCACAATGTACAGTATTATTTTTTCCACTTGCTGCTGGTCAACAATAGGGTGGGCTCAGCGGTTATATTTTATAGCTAGCAGTTCATCGATCCCGCATGGGGTGATAATAGAAGGAAGGCTCCATGCATCGGCGTTTCGTCATCGTCTCTTCGGCATTGATTTACCGACACCCCCATCGTGGCCTCAGCGGGATGACGGGGCTTCGTCCCCGGCCATCATCTGCCCCTACCAGTAGACTATCGGATGAATGCGACAAAGTTATCATGGCCGCCGTCGACGTCCTGGATCAACCGACATGATGACGTGGCCGCCGGGGTTGTCGGAGAGTAGGGACCCATCGTATGCATGCGCACAAGCACCCGCTTTGTTTGACCGCCACCAGGCATGTGCAGGGCGTTGCGCGGCGCCAATGCATTCGTACGCGCTCTATACGTGACGGAAGCAAGTGGTGATGGCGCAGCCGAACGAGGCACCCCCCGACGAGGCCACCCCCCGTTTTGTGGCACTGGTCACCAGCCGCCGGGGCCCACTAACCCCCTCGTTGCCACTGACTACGGACGCTCGAGCGTGGTGCCGTCCCGATTACGCTAGCTATTCACCTAAATCAGCCATCCACCGCGCTCACAATTGCGCGCCGTCAGGCGACTCGCCGGGACCGGGGCGCCGGTAAAGCAAAAAGCCCAGCTTTTTTGCCACCTTCACGTACAACATCTGCGCCCGGTGGTTTTCAAACTGCGTGCTCCAGTAACACTTGATGCATCCGAGACGGTCGCACTCACGATACACCGCTTCGATTAACTGACGACCCACCCCGTGAAGACGGGTCGTGCGCGACACAAACAAGTCGTTCATGTATAACGCCGGCTCCACAGTCCAGGTGTTACCATGAGTTAAGTAGTGGGCAAAGCCAATGACGTGGTCGTGTTCGTCCACCGCCACCACCGCGTACATCGGCTGCTGAGGGTCAAGAAACCGGGCGAACGTCACTTTGGTGACGTCGTCGCTCACTTTGTCTCTCAGCTTATAGAAGGCAAGATAGCCGTCGTCACCTTTCCAGAGCGGGTACCACTGGTCGTAGTCGCGCTCCTCAATGGGTCTGATTGTTACCAGCATAGAGAATAGATGCGGCGGGGTTCTGTGGGGGAGACGCCGGCAGGGCTATATATATAAGGGGAGGGTTAGCGGCTAATAGAGTCATTTCGCGGGGGATCAGGGGAGAGGCTGAATCGGGTAAGTCGATCCGTGTATTTCTATGGTACAATAAAAACTGAAGATGAGTCATCACGCCAACATCTTTCTCTCGATCACCTGGGACTTGGTCAATTCCTCGTCACACTTCTTCAAGATGTCGTCGGCGAGGGTGTCGATGGCGTGCGAGTGCAACATGTTGTTGTAGCGACTGGGTTCCTGGGGCAACTTGAACAACGTGGTGTATTCCTCGGGGTCCAACTCCTTTTCGCCCCGCTTCTGGCGCTCGAAGTTCTCCAACTTGCGCTGCTGCTTCCACTGGGCGATCTTTTGCAGCTCCTTTTGGTACTGGCGCTGGTAGTAGTTGAAGTTGTTCTGGTCATAGTTGTAGGCGTCGATCTGCGAGTACAACAGCTCGAGCAACTGGGCAGTGAAGTTCTCGTCCAGCGACAAGTTCAAGATGTCGCTGGCGCTGCCGCCGCGCTTGCTCAGGGTGATGTGGCCGTCGGCACCGGTGTTCAGCGCCATGTACAACTCGAGCATCGTCTGCGACCCCAAGTCGATGGGCACTTCGTCAAAGATCGACAAGTAGTTGACGCCGTTCGCCGCCAAGTCCTTCAGCTTCCACTTGCCGTCGACGTAGCTCTGCAAAAACCCTTGCAGCAATCTGTACGCCTTGACGTCGACCTCCTTCAAGTAGGCCAAGTTGTGCACCACCACGAACGCGTCCGGGTTCTGCAACTGCTGTTGCGCCAACCCTTCGACGAGCTGCGACGTGACAAAGTTGCCCAGGATCGACAGCTGGAACCACCCGTGGAACTCGACACCGTACCCAAGCTTTCTGAGCTGGGCCAAAATGTCCTGCTGGTACTTGGCCCCCAGTCTCAGCCGGAACAGCCCGCCTTCGTACTGGTCAGCGTAGGGGAAGGGGTAGGCGTGGGTGATGTCGATGTTGCCGTCGTCGTCCTGGAACCCCATGAGCGCCCCCAGGTACAACTGGGGGTAGTTTTCCAGGGTGTGCCGCACCATCGTGAGCAACACGCTCAGCTGCATCGTGATCTTCGTCGCCCGAGGCGCCGTGATTTTCTTCGAAGGCGTCGCCATGGTCGTGGTGAAAATTCGATGCCCGCGCGAAAATTTACCTGGTGGTGAAAGAACCAACGGTAACTCTAATACCAGTAACCAGTCTACTGAACGGCTACAGAATGAAATGTTGCATTACATTTCTCGAACCATAGCTTATCTAATTCATTATTGTTTTGATAGAGACCATGCAAATCCCTCATGGCGTGGTGGCTGATAGCTGGCGAACGCGCCCAACCCGACGCGACGATCCCTCGTGGCTTATGCCAAAAAAAACCATACGTGAAGAAACTGTTGTATGACTGCGTTTATTTTAACGGTACCGACCTGTCAATGAGAAAATTGTTTTCCGAAAACGTTTCCTATCTTGAACCTCACCGAAGTCGTTGAGGCCACGGGTCCATTGGACGACATGCTTGACGCACACAAAATGGTGTAGTTGTTGATTGATCCAATAACGATACCCTTTAGGGAAAGGTGTTTACGTTTAAAGCAGCATGGTATGGTACATCTTAGTGTTCATTTTAAATAGCGCTATGTTACCATCGTCATTCGGGCAGCCCCAGTTGATGCCGGTGTGCACTAGGCTAAGAGGACGTGGCTGAGACTGATTATTTTGATTGCACCAGTATGTTTCTGTACTCAGATGATGGAAGTACTGGGTGTCTGCAGCGGTGACATGTTTCTTCTATCTCATGCGAAACTAATCGCTTAATGTCAGCATCATTGACGTTTACACAAAACGAAGCCTTACCTCACGCAGTCATCGTACCATAGCCACTTCTGTATATTTCCTACCGATTTTGTGACACATATAACCGTACATTCATTGATTTGTCCACTAAAGAACAGCAGCCTTACCGGCAATCTTCAACTTGAGGGGACCCGGGTCAGTGCAGGCGCCAAAGTCAGCAAGCAACACCACTTTCCCATTCAATTGTTCACAGCCTTTAAAGTCGCAGATCCCCCCAATGCAAAGATAGTTATCTTTGATCTCGTACTTTTTGGGCTGGCACATTTTGAACACCGAGAACACTTTTTGTGAACACCACTTGGGAATTCTTTGCACCGCACCAGTGCGGTCGTCAATGGTGACTAGGCGATCGTCGACTCGAAGGATGTCGTCGTTGTTTTCGAAGAACGCCGTGGGCGACGAACCGTGGTATTCGTTTTTGAGGAAAAACCGGTCCGGCTGAGAGTCATCAGTCTCAACATGGAGACCGTTATAGCGACCACCCTCAGCATCCAACCAGAACCAACGTCTTTCGGTGGGCTGCAATTCGGGGTTGGCCGCCAAGGCCGTTGACAAAAGCGATACCAAGCCAATTGAGGTAAACTTCATTTTAGATGTAAAGTCTGGCAAATTCCAATTACTTTGGTCCGTTTTATAGGCTTCAAAGGTATCTATATTTAGAGTCTCGTACCTGATTTGACGCCGAAGCATCTCATTTTGGAACAGCTTGAGCGGGCGCAAATGCTCAAAGCCAATCTAATGAAACGCAAAGATGTTGCACTTGATGATGACAATTCTTGGCACAACGGGGCATTACTACTCATCACCATGTTAGGCATAGTGGAACTTGTGAACCTGTTAGCCTTCACATGGCAATGTACTGGAATTCGCAGCTGGACTTTTTGATATCGTTTACAAAACGATCAAATCAGTACGATGTTTCATCAGTTCTTCCGATTTTATCCTGGGTTTTACACAAATCATTATGTGCTACAGGTTCTCGAATAGCAAATGTCGCTGAGGAAAAAATAACCGCAGGAGATTTAAGGTTGGTAAAGTTTGTATTCCGAATCGATGACCTGGAGCACTTACTCTTTCATGGGAAAACTTGCGGTTTCTAGTGAACAGTATTCTCTTGTGTTCCGTGAACGGGGGAGCAAAATACTCTGGCTTGACTCGAACAATATCATCAGCGAAATATGAGCTGTAAATCAATCTGTCCACACAGGAATCATGGATCAGCTTTCGCATATGACTCAGAATAGGTGGAAACAAAGCTTATGTGGTTTCAAGGATCACCATTAAACTTAGCCCAACCCCTTGAGCACAAAAACAACCCGAGCTTTCCATCCTAGAGAATATACAAGAAAATTGACAACTCGAAGTCGGTGTGGTGTTACTGTATACTAGTTTGACTCGGCCGTGACTTATTCAATCGGCCACGAGTCGTTAATCTTCAAAACATTTCATTATCTTGATGATGATGCAAGTCTTCAGGTACTCTTGTTTTGAGCCCCCAGCCATCCCCAAAGCCATCCGAACTGGGTAATCGCACTTTCCGCAAAGGTCTAGCTGTGTTGAAATAATTAGCGAGAGACAAACTTTTGATGTTTATCTTCAGCTCCGATGCTCCAGGGACGCTGAGGGGCCAAAACTGTTCATTTTGCACTCATATTGTTTCCTCATAGAATTCTTTGACAAGCTTGAAACCGAAGACGATCAATAATTCTGTGACAACGTATCGCAACCTCTGTAATGAAATGTAATCAATGCTATCAGGACACAACAATTGTACTCCTTTATCAGTCACACCTTACGCCAAATACCATATTTGAGTGCTTTTCCAGCAGTATTGGTTGAGCACACATTATTCTCACTCATGTAAGCAAACCAAATAAATCGTTTTGTACCTTCTCCTCAAATCAATATTCGAAACGGAGAATGCCTTAACGTGACATCCTTGCCTTACCAGAATTTCATCTACTAATCTAACTTAGTCGCCTCATTTCCAATCAAACTGAAGGCATGTTACATCGTCAAGTGTGAACTACATATCTGGTTAAGCGCTACCCTATATGCAGTACGGCGAGAACAAGGTGAATTTGATAGATTTTCATGAATCTCCTGCGCCACGAGTTCTCATCGAGTGATGCTAGATTATGCTCATTGTGATCGCCGTGGCCAGTTTAGTCAAGTAGGATACAGAAAAGATCGAATTTCGAAATTTGAAAAGTTGGGAATTTTATATAAAAAAAAGTGGCGTTTCAAATTTTTTATTCTTCGAAAAATGGCATAAAGTTTTCGAACGCCATTTGCTGCCGTTGATTTATGTTGTTGCTTGCACTTTTCTGAGCAACATTTGTTAGCATACCTAAGGTCTAACTTGTCTGGCTCGAGAAAAAATCGAGGTTTAAGGGTGCGTTTTCAAGTTTTTTGCGGTCACACTTTTCAAGTTTTTGACACGTTATCAACTACTAAATGAGAGTGTATAAACACCACCGGAAGGTCTAACTCCACGAAAGTGGGCTCGTTGGCATCGTAAAAGTCGAGGCTACTTTGGTTTTGATTTTTTTCGCGGTGGGATCAGATTTCAAAGAGTTTGCTACTTGAGATAGATAACACTATGTGCAGGATGTGTGATTGATCACAACGTTGCCGCCATACTTTAAGTAGCGCCATGAAAGGCGATACCCAAAGTATTTTAACATATCGAAATCATTTGTTTATATATTACCATTGGTAGCATCGCGTGTCTTTAGAGTCCCCCCAATTTTCTCAAAATAGTGTTATTTATCGATAGAGGAGAATTTAAAGGGAAAGGTCGAGCGTAGATATACTATGTATACAAGTCGGAAGAGTATGATAATTTGTCATTTAACAATGTGTTAGAATCAGCAAAACTGGTCCAAAGGGCACCATCAAGTCAGTCGTCACCGGCAGGATTATCTTTCGTAAGCCGACTGTTATTGTTCCACAATTAACGGTGCTGGATATAATCAAAGGTGGGTTCCCTTAGAATTCAAAATGAGCTAGGTTCAACTCCACGGGTTTATTTCACCAGTGCCAAGTGCGGGGGTGGTATTTAGGGCATGGGTTGTGTTTGACACTGGCTTTCACCAGATTGCCCCTGGCCACGGCTAACTTGGCCGAAAAATCAACACCACCAAAACTTGTCCGATCGGCACCAAGCCTTGGCCACGTTACTCGGTATGGTTCGCATTGCGGGGGCAGTAATTTCAGCCCAATCGGATGTTGAACAGATTTGCACCCCCGCTGATGGCACTCTGGTTGTGACCGCCGACGAAATACCAACACCGCCAGAAGTGGTCCAACCGAATATTGAGTCATATTCCCCGTGATGACTTAGTCCGTCTGTTTTGGTTTACTACCAGATGAATAGTTTTTGGTACTGGTCAATGTTTAGTGATTCGATTTCGATTTACAGATGAGAGTTCTTGTCAATTGTTGGATCATCCAAGCATTCAGTTTTGTCATTTCAAGTACACCTATAATCGTAATCAACCAACTTTAACTTACAACAACACAATGTCCTCCTCGTCAGTGTAGTTAACGTTTGAGATGAGAGCCACATTTTCGTCATGGTTGATGGTGACGTAAGCGTGAGTCAACGTAGAAACCCCCAAGTGGACAGGGACGCCGTTCAGAGTGGGTTGTACTCCCAAAACACATTTGCCATTGGGTTTACCATCGTTATTGTAGGATTTGATCGACAAATCATTGAGGCTGAGTTTGATTTCAACGTCATTGAACCAGAACAGGACATAAAGGTTGGGATCCAATTCACAAGGAACCCACGTTATCGAACCATCTATAACCGCGTTGGGCACTTTTGCGCGGATTTGATCAACGATATTTGGGGGCAACCTCGAGACCGTCAAACCAGTGTCCAAGAAGGCTTCAATGTTTTCACCGAGCACCTCACCGTCGACACCAGTGATTTTTGAGATGTGAATATTGTCGAAGCGAGAGTTGGCCGTGCCGGTAGTCAAGGGCACCGTGGCCACGTCGCCCTTGATTTTCGCCTTGTCAATACCGCCAAACACGATTGACCCAGACGTAGCATCCTTCGAGTTAAGATAGTACAGGTACCCATTGGTCTTGATGATACCATCATCCTTCAACTTCTGGACCAAGTTGGGGTAGCGATTTTTAGCCAGTTCATTTTCAACTCTACCCACACCGAGAATTCCGTGGAAGTTACCGGTGTTGTGGGTAACGTTGGTACCCAAAGCCCACTGGAAATCATCAATCTTGAGCCCGTTGTCGAGCCAGATCGGCGACGTGCCATACCAGCCTTGAACCAGGGTATGGTCGTAGTACCACACGGAGTACGGCTCAGACAAGTTTTTCCAAGTACTCACGTCTTGGACAATCCGCTTATCCACCCAAAGATCGGCCGACCCAGTATCAATTTCAACCGACACCTTTTGGCCCTGGTTGCCAATATCGACATCAATCAAGTAAAAGAAACCATCTACCCATAAATTAGACTCTTGTGCCCCAGGAGCCGCTCGGAACGATCTTCCCGAGGTGATGGGTTCTTGGCGAGTGCCTTTGCTTAAACCGAACTTGACAGGCTTGGCCTCGTCTCTAATCGCCAACGCCGCGGACAATGCAAGTAAATATGGACTGAATAACATTATGTGTTAACCAAGAACTCTCCCTCCCTATATGACGGGTATATATACCCCTCCAGGCATGCATTTTGTGTTCATTCCCCGGGTATTGTTCGCTGCTTTTGTCCTTGTCAACGTGCCCGTGATAGCCTGAATCATGCATCTGATTAGTTCAAAGAACCTCTGAAAATATGAAAGTTCAACAAACTCGGGAGCTCATCTCGGATCAAGGATCATGGTGCTTTCGTTGGTAAACAAGAGCGGGTTTGACTAAATCATTCTAAACGCGACTAGTAGTATTGGCGCCACACACCAAAGCTATGGCAACGGCCTCCCACCTGACTCGGGACACTCTCACCCCGCTCACCCGTGGAAGCCACAAAGGTACACGGCAAATTTCAAAACCCCCTATTCTTCAGTATGTCTTATGATCCTAAGAATATCTACTTTCAAACATTAGTTATTAGCGAAGACAAAACTTCACGTGTACCTGAGAAAATAGAACACCTACAATGAACTTTTAGCACCACGGGCACAGAAAACGGCTGCCAACTTCACTTTTGTACCACTTTTAAATAATTATCTCTTGGCTAGATCATTAACCGGCGATAAGGGGGACCCTTATGATAAGGTAGCTTTTTGAAGAAAACCGATGTACACTTCGTAATATAGGTGTTTCTAAATCTTAATTGGATACATGGGCCATATCGACAGAGACGTCTTCAGTTAAGTAAACATCTTGTTAAGTTTGCAGCACAACTTGATCGAGTCATTGGTTTGTCAGCCTCCTTAGGTATTGCTTAATGAGATTGATATTTTTGCATTATGATCTAAACTAGCAAATAATAATGTATTCCCTCAACTACATTAGTCTTGCCGAAACTGCTGCCAAATTCAGCCTACTTTCGTACTGTGAGGTTACCGAACATGTGGAATTCTTCAACTGGCCTCGCATGTGCCGTGAGCTGATTTACCTTTCGATGCTGGATTCATTTCTCCACGAAATGCTGATTCAGTTTAAGGAGCACCACCTTGAACAGCTTAAGACCCTAGTATTGTATGGCCACCCGTTACCTGTCATTCGACGTTCGGGGATTTGCGTGTCCACCGAAAATGTCGACACTGGGGTCACTTGGGATTGAGTATGTTGACAAGAAGCATGAGTCGCAAACGTCCATAGAAATATTTAGCAGCTAGGTTTTCCTCTGGTCTGTGCAAAATCGACTTGTCAATGAATAGTGAATCAGAATAACTTTCATCATTGCGTAGAAAATTTGTATCAAATGTCAACTGGCCAGACTCGGCTAGAGTATAATGCGGTGGGATGAACTTTGCTGGGTTAGTATCAGTCGCGATATGGATAGCTGGCACTTGATGTGTTCAGCAATTCCTTTGAAAACTTTGGCTTCCCTTCAAATTCTAATTTCAGTGCTACCACCCGTGGCCATGAGTCAGTACAGTATCCAAGTTTTTCAAAATGGGTGTCAAATCGTCGTCGTCTATCGTTGGTAACTTTAGTTCAAGTAGATCATATATGTTGACGTTTTGATAGTACTCTATTCAGGCACTCACAACCAAAGTAGAATGCAATGATGGCATCCCTATCCTTGTCACTCGGAAGTACTTCAACACCACCTGTAAGCTTAAAAAATGGAACCACTGGAGCATATCATTAAAGGGATCACCACCCAGTGAGTCCATTTCTCGACTGTCGTATGATGTGAAATTGGCTCAGTATGACGCGTCATACACGCCGTAAACTCTTAGGATATTCACCAAAGACGTTCCATTCGTCCATTGCAATTCACTGCCACTGTATTCTCAATCAATTCTGGCTCTTGCTTCACGGTTGGAGAACCTTTCAGTGCTTATCGCGAATATGCGATATGACTCAACGGTTTAGTTATCGCCGCTCACATCCTGCGAGGAGCGGCTGACCCAGACGACCGGATTCCAATTTATACAGCTACAACTGGTGAAGAACAATCCCTGAAGACTCATAGAATCTTATTCTAAACTATTCATAAGAGCTATTATGAGTCACACTGGTCTTATTCTCATTATCTATGCTTCTTCACTCAGTTTCTGACCTATTTTCGTGCGGGAGAGGACCCAGATCTTTACGACGCCGGCCCTTCGTGTCATCAATCACCCACCATAAAAATCAATCTCTAAATCAATATCTACTAAGCTGCCCACATTTCCCAAAAACCAAACGCCACCAACGCGGGGGCATCGCACTCGCCAAGGGTTATTTACCAGCTCTTCGCACTCACAAATTTTTCATCCACCATGTCCGAAGAAACCAAGGAGCAGCCCAAGCTTTACCTCGACGAGGTCACCGGGGAGCAAGTGTCGAAGACCGAGCTCAAGAGAAGACAGAAGGCGCGTGCCACCGCCGCCAAGAAGGCGGAAAAGGCCAAGCTGGCCCCCGCCCCCGCCCCGTCGAAGAAGAAGAAGGATGACGAACCCGTCGACCCCACCCAGTACTTTGAAAACCGGTCGAAGCAAATCAACCAGTTGAGAGAAAAGAACGAGGCTGGCGACGCTTTCACTCCTTACCCCCACAAGTTCTCGCGGACTTTGACCCTCCCCGAATACAGAGAAAAGTACCTGCTGTTGAAGAAGGGGGAAACCTTGCCTGAGGAACAGGTCAAGGTCACCGGGAGAATCATGGCCAAGCGTGACTTGTCGCTGAAGCTCAAGTTCGTCGTGCTCAAGGGCGATGGCGTCGAAGTGCAAATTATGTCGGCGGCGCAAGACTACTCGCTGCCCGAGGCGTTTGAAAAGATCCACGACTTGATCAAGCGGGGTGACATTATCGGTGTCACCGGTTACCCCGGTAAGTCGTCGCCCAAGAAGCAAGAGAACGCCGAAGGTGAGCTTTCGGTGTTTGCCCAAGAGATCGAATTGTTGACCCCCTGTTTGCACATGTTGCCCACCGAGCACTACGGGTTCAAGGACCAGGAAGCGCGTTACCGTAAGCGTTACTTGGACTTGATCATGAACAACTCGGTGCGGGACACGTTCAAGACGAGATCGAAGATCATCTCGTACATCAGACGCTTCTTGGACAACCGCGACTTCATCGAGGTGGAAACCCCGATGATGAACGTCATTGCCGGTGGTGCCACTGCCAAGCCGTTCGTCACCCACCACAACGACTTGAAGCTCGACATGTTCATGAGAATCGCCCCCGAATTGTTCCTTAAGGAGTTGATTGTCGGTGGCATGGACCGGGTGTACGAAATCGGTCGTCAATTTAGAAACGAACAGATCGACATGACCCACAACCCCGAATTCACCACCTGTGAGTTCTACCAGGCCTACGCCGACGTCTACGACTTGATGGACATGACCGAAGAGCTCTTCTCGGAAATGGTCAAGGAGATCTGCGGTGACTACAAGATCAAGTTCCAACCCGACGGCCCCGAAGGCAAGGAACTCACCTTGGACTTCTCGCGCCCCTGGCGCCGGATCAACATGATCGAGGAATTGGAAAAGGTGTTCAACGTCACCTTCCCCGCCGGCGACCAGTTGCACACTGCCGAAACCGGCGAGTTCCTCAAGAAGTTGTTGAAGGACAACAACTTGGAATGCGCGCCTCCCTTGACCAACGCGAGAATGTTGGACAAGCTTGTCGGTGAGTTGGAAGACACCTGCATCAACCCCACCTTCATCTTCGGCCACCCGCAAATGATGTCGCCGTTGGCGAAGAAGGACCGCCAAAAGCCCGGTTTGTGTGAGCGTTTCGAAGTGTTCGTCGCCACCAAGGAAATCTGTAACGCCTACACCGAGTTGAACGACCCCTTCGACCAGAGAGCTCGTTTCGAAGAGCAAGCGAGACAAAAGGACCAGGGTGACGACGAGGCCCAGGTCATCGACGAGACCTTCTGCAACGCCTTGGAGTACGGGTTGCCCCCCACTGGGGGTTGGGGTTGCGGCATCGACCGGATCGCGATGTTCTTGACCAACTCCAACACCATCAGAGAGGTGTTGTTGTTCCCCACGTTGAAGCCCGACGCCGAACAAAAGTAAGCCTATAGTTTTGTAAATTAGAGATACTCATACTGAGCCTAAACGTCAATAGTGTATTAATTCCGGTGGTTCTCTATTTCATTATACTTCCTCTTCAAACACGGTTTCAATGGGTTTTTCCATGAACGCGGCGTGGGCGCCCACGGTGACGATGGTGGTACCGATCAACCACATCATCGTCAGAATCGGCGACGCGAGGAACCCGAGGGGGACGGCCACGATCATAAGCCCTAAATACAACTGCGACGTCTGGAAGGAGCCAAAGGGAGTCACCAAGTCCTGCCCTTGCAACCGGCTGATCAAAAACACGCCGCCGGCGACGAACACCAGCACAAACAACAACATCAAGTTGGTCACCAACGCGTACACCGAGAGAAGCGCCACCCACACCAAGTAGTTGGCGGAGAAGTAGCCGACGTTGTACAGCACCCGCGATTGCACCTCGCCGAAGTTCGCCGGCTTCAGCACCCGCCGCACGTCGAAAAACTCTTGTGGGGGCTTCAACTTCGAGATCAGCAGCAGCACCGCGGCGAAGTCCAGGCGGAGCCGTTCCATCAGCAAGCGTTCCAGCACCGCCAGCGCGGTGGCACCCATTAACGACATTAGTGGTGAAGAGTCTACGTGTAGCTTGAAAAGTGCGATTCCAGCACCGGTGGGTGGCGCCAGGGCTCGTGGCGGAGACCCGAAAAATCGCGTCGGCGCGACGTGTCCCAACGGCTGACCACCCATCATAATACACTGTCATCATTTGGATTTTCAACATCTAAATATCTAATTAGCAAAGCTTTTGAATGTTTTCAATCAAACTTGAAGTACCATTTTTTCGGGCTAATCTATAGAGACGGCTGGTGTCTGCTTATCATTCATACCCGTAAGATATAGGATAAACATTTCAAGGCTGCACAAGAGAAACACATATACAGCTACATATATTGGTTCTACCAAGAATGATCTCTCCACTAAATACAGGTTGAGACCTTTTGTCTTGACATTGGCCGTGCAACCCTTCAAACCACCACAAACCCGACAGGCTTGCAAATGGCTATAAATCACCCCACTTATGCTACACCCGTGCTGCAAAATTAGCATTGAGACCGTAGTATAAAAAGGGCAAGAGGATTTTCTCCTTCGACTCAGTGGCGAGAAAAAACCAGCACTCAGTCGTCCTCCCCTTATCCCCATGGCCGTGTAGCATTTTTGGCTCCCCGTCAGACAACCCTCTACGAGTAACTTTTGTTAGCAGACCACGTCGCCCAGACGGCTGTAGCGAGAGTTATGGCCCTGAACTTTCGCGACCATAGACGGTGGCGACCAAATACGGTGGCGACCAAAAAAGAGCCCCTCTCTGTCTTGAACATCCTACGTAATCTTTGTTACTAATGTGAATATTGAATGGGGCTGATCGTGGACGCCTTCTGCTGAATGCGAAAAACACCCTGATCATATCAAATCTATTTAACCAAGGACGCTTCCTTCATTTGCGATGCGCTCAGGAGGACTACTTTCATGAGAACAATTAATAATTGGGAAACGTTCCTGGTAACTGTCCAACGTATTATATGACTGGCTCATATTATTTATATTCTCCGGTTAGGTCATGGAAATGTCTATTAATGCTAGTGTTTACAAGTGGTACACAGTTTGTGCTGGTAAGGGTAAGTCTTTTGCATGAGGCGGAGCGTCTCGGCGTCGTCCAACTGGTGGACCTTGCGGATGTGTCTGATCAATGAGTCGCGGCGGTAGAAAAAGCGGCTGCACCCGAGCTCGGGGCAGCAGTACATTTTACTCTCGATCTCCGGCGCTTGGGCGGCACAGTCGGCGGCGACCTGGCCCTTCTCAAAGTGGCAGTCGTAGTAGTGCCACCGCAAGTCCAGCAAGCGGGTGAAGCCAATTTCCAGCATTGGGCACGACGGCACGCAGCACTTCTCGTGGCGGGGCGCCAGCTTGTGGATGCGGGTGTGGGCGATAAAGTCGGCGTAGGTGACGGAGACGTGGGGGCACCGGCGACACCGCTTGTCGGTGGCTGCCACCCGCATCCGGCGCAACTCCGGGCGCAGCAGTGCCAGCGCCACCTGAAAGCCCGTGGGAGCCTCTACCTCCAGGGTAAAGTCGTCGCCGTAGTCGGTGGTGTCAAGATACAGGGTGTTGGTGGTGGAGTAAGCGTCGGCGTGGGGCGAGCCTCCCGTCGAGCCGCTGTCGCTGTGGAAGCTGAAGTTGCCGTCGTAGCTGGTCAACTGGTAATTGTCAGGGTATCCCGGGTTGATATCGGCGAGGAGAAGGTCGTCCCACTCCGCTGGGGTCGCCTCGATCGCCGGTTTCAGTACTCCTCCCGGGTTGCGGCGACTGCGGCTATTATAGATGCGCGGCCACCCTTTGCGGTTGCGTCGTTTCTTAGGCACATACCGGTATAACGGCCGGCCAGCGTTCCACCCCACCATCTCGAGGGCATCGGCGCCAAGCTTGTGGGCGAGGCCGATGTTGTAGTGGAACGAATCAGGGGGTGGCCACTCCTGGAAAGCACCGGGAGTGCCTGGACGGCACCAGGCGGCCCCGAGGTCGGCAAACTGGTCTTCTCTGAGCTCGGGCAAGGCATCGGCGTCGACGGCGAAGAGGTCCTGGATGGTGCCTGGGGCGAGCAACGGCAGCATCGGCGGCGCGAAAAGCGTCTCGTAGGTGAGGTCACTCATCAGGGTCAGTGATAACAGCAGCGGGGTTGCTTTGAAAAAGGGGCAAGGGGGTCGTACTTATATAGGCGATGCAATCAGCGCCGGCGGGCGGCGGGGTCTGGATTGGTACCTGAAGTACGCGCTGTAGGCGGCAGCATCATCTGATGATATACGGGTGCGGCCGCAGCTGCGTTTGGGCGGTGGCAAAGAGGTTGAAACGCGGTCAAATCCGAAAACTTCGCTTAAGTTGAAGGTTTGCAAACGAATAGGGTAGCCAAAGCGGTTGCTAAACACCTCGAACGATTGATAAGCTTGTTGAAGACGAATGGCATTAAGCCGTTTCGATCACGGCGAACGATGGTTTAGTCGATGTACCCCTGATCGAAACATGCGGTGTGGTGAGCTCCAGCATCGGAGTGCAGCGACGGCGCCACGCCTCGTCTCTCTACCCACCTCCGGGGGAGCGGTAGATCCGGGGTTGTGGCGGTTTCGAAAAGTGTGGCTTTCGTTGAGGGGGATATTGTTATGTAGCTCGAGATCCTCACTATCGTCTCGAGGATTTCGCGGGGCACTATATCTCGAGGGCGGCATCGCCGTTCGCCGCAGCGCACATAACCGTGTGAAAAACCTAACCCGCTCGATGCAGGCCTTCAGATTAGGTGCTTAGTTACCCCACAGCCCATAGCCAGCACCTCGCTACTTCAATTTCGCCTTGACAACCTGGATGACACCATTTACCAAGTACTATGTAAGCTTACACTGTTAATCGAGCCCACCGCCGCGGTTTCAAGTGGTTCTGATATCAATGTGAAACCAAACAGTGTCCCACCCCGCCACCTGAAATTCGGCCAAGCCCGGCGTCAGGCACGCCCCGCCTGATCTCGCGGCATTGTCGGACAACTGCGTTCACTATAGGCGACTATCGCTTCTCCCGCGTACCTTATTCAACGGCACTACCGTTGGGATTGTCATGAGGGCAATTTACCTCAAGCGAGAGTTGCTCTGAAATTTTTTTTTCAGAGTTAGCAATCAATTGTCCCAGTCAAGCTCATGGGTTAATGATTTATAGTTTATTAACGAATTGAACCGAATAGATGGGTCCACCAGGTCCATGTCAGAGAATGTCGAATTTTAATTCATAAGGGTTACATTGAGGTAATTGATCAAAGGACGAGAAGATTGTATTAAGACGTTTATGAGGTGGTGAGATATACCAAACCATCACGTTTGTTTGAACTTGTAATTTAAAAGCTAGTAGTATTGCAATTGCGAGTGAGGACTATCCTATCCATAAACGGTGTAAAAACTCTATCAATTGAAGATTCATAATTCTCACATTTTATATGGTATATGGTCGCTTGCACGAATGCCGAAGTCGGGTATACCATGGCACTAATTTGGTTCCATTATCGTGGCTGTTAGTCTTGGCAAGATCTCAGCGGTCGTGTTGGTCCATTACCGATCGGCGCCGATCGTGGACCACGCAATAATGCGGAAATAAACAGAAGCTTGAGTGAAATTTTGTATGAGCCAATACAAAAAGAAAAGAAACGTTAGACGTCGTCTTTCCGGCTTCGGGATTTAAGTTTCGAGTTTAAATTTATAAACGGCAGCGGGTGACCACGGGGGCCCAGGCAGTCGTCGACAACACGCCTAGTCTGGCGCAAATAGCGTGCGCAAACGTGACCACGCCTCATCGCGAAAAAAGAAGCATATACTCTATTTTATGATCATAATTAGTTTAGGTAAAGATCTCCTTCACCACCCCCTTCCAGCCGCCGACTTCCTTTTCGTCGTCGTCGCGGATGTCCAAGTCGACCCGGCGCCCAGCGTCGAGGTCGACCTTGTCCAACGTCACCCACTTGGTGCGGTTGATCAATTTAAGCCCGACGTAGAACACGGGGAACACGGGCAACAAGATGTAGGAGTCGACGAAGTTGGCGGCGTCAAAGGGGACAAAGTACATCCACCCTTGCACCAACGCCAAGAACACGTTGAGCACGAGCGAGAACAACGGGATCCACGGGTACCACAACCCCTTGTAAGGGAGCTCGTCGGTCAGGCGCCCTTGTTTTTTCAACGCGAGGCGGAAGCGGATGTGGTACAACGAGATGTTCCCCCACACAATGAACACCGCCACCCCGGAGATGTTGACGATGTAGTTGTAGGCCTCCGCCGCCCCCGTCAGCACGTTCATCAACGACAAGAGGCCGAAGGCGTTCATCAAGATCACCGCCATGTACGGCACCCCGTGGCGGTTGACCCACCCGAGGAACCAAGGGGCGTTGCGCTCCTTGGCCAAGTTGACGATCGTCCGCAGCCCGATGTAGATCAGCGAGTTGATGGCGGAGATACAGGTGACGAGGATGAAGGCGTTGATCAAGTGGACCCCGCCCAGCCACCCGGCGCGCTGGATGGCGATCGACATCGGCAGCTTAAGCGTCTTGTTTTGCAGGGTGAGCCCGGGGTCGTTGTAGGGGACAGTCAACCCGTACAGCACCGCCACCCCCATGTAGACGATCAAGATCCGCCAGAACGTCTGGCGGATCGCCTTAGGCACCGCTCGCAGCGGGTTGCGCAGCTCGCCGGCAGTAATAGCAATGGACTCGGTGCCCGAGTAGAACGTCAGCGCAAACACAAACGTCAGCGCCACCCCTTTGAACCCGTGGTTGAACGACCCGGGGTCGTTCCAGTAGTGGAAGCCGAACGCCTTGTGGCCCTTGATGCCCCCGGCGCAGTAGACGATGGCAAAGATGTAGAACGCCACCAACCCCAAGAGCTTAAACCACGCCAACCAGTACTCGGCCTCGCCGAAGGCGCCGACGCCCAAGAACTGGAAGCCGAGGAAGAACGCCCAGAAGATAAGCACATACCCGTAAAGTGGCACCTGGGGCCCCCAGAACTCAAGGATGGCGGCGGTGGTGTTATACTCGTTGGCCAACACCCCGATCCAGATAATGACGTAGAACCAGCCCACGGCGCCCCCCCAAGCGGGGTCGATGAACTTTGCCCCCAACGTCGAGAACGCCCCGCCCGAAGGGTACAACGTCAGCAACTCCCCCAACAGCTGCATCATGGCAAAGGCGATAAGGCCGATGATGCCGAACCCCACCACCATCGACCCCGGCCCGTTGCGCAACGCCATCAGCGCCCCGATCAAGATCCCTGGTCCGATGATCCCGGCAAGCGCCAAAAGCGAGATGTGGCGGTCCTTAAGCTTCCGCTTCAACTGCTGCGTCGTCTCCAGCAGCGCATCCTCCTGGGTGACCACCACCTGGGGTTCCTTTTCCCTCAGCGATGGCGTCGATCGTATCGACTTGGTATCGGTATAATCCAGCATGGCGGAGTTATCGTGGTTTAGGAAATGGGGGAAATTTTATGGTGGAGGTTGGGATGTCGCTTGTATATAAACCACAATCGCCATGGCACGGCGTTGGCAGAGAAAATATCGAAAACGCTAGGTCTCCCCGCCTGCACCTCGAGCTAATCGAACAGGGTCGGAAGTCACTCGGGAGTAGGGGTAACCCCCACGTCGCCGAAGCATCACCGCACGTGCACCGCAGCCACACCTGAGACCATCATGTATGGCACCACGTCATCGAGTGTCACTCCGCTCGGGTGCAGGTGCGCAAGGGTTTCTGTTTCTCTCTTGTTTGGCTCACGGGGAACCCTAACCCCCCTTCCCAGATAGGTAGCAACATTGTCACGGGCGCCGTTTCCCCACACTACCAGGCAGCGCCAAGATGTTCTTAGCGTTGCTGATACGCTGATATGCTCAATAGGGCCGCAGCAACCCTCAGAGGTCCCATTGTGAGACCTACAGCCAGGCGAGGCAAGTGGCAAAAAAAAAAAACACACCCGCGGCCCTGGCGTAAAATCCGGCGCCGGGCTGTAAAAAAACGCACATCCATGTCATGTCGGGATAACCAACTTTATCGTGCTGGCGCTATTTCCGGTCGCCGACATGGGGGAGTGGGGGAGCAGGGGAACGAATCACAGCCCCCGATGGCCAGTGATAAACCCTTTTGCCACTTCAGTAGACATTGCACGTGCCGGGGATAAGCAGCGGCGGCAGCGTCAGCCTCGTTACTGAGGGGTCTACGTTCACACGAGCAATCAGAGAGAACCTTGGCAAATACAGAAGGCTATTAGAGTTAATGTAGTGGGGCCGATCAGACCCCCAGCACACCCTGGTGCTGGACGCCCGCTAGGGATACAAAGCCGCACACCCGATCAGGGCCTCCCCCGAGGCAGGTTGTATCAAAAGTTGCCTCGGGCAGACACCCCGCTCGCTCTCCTCCATCACCAGAACACTCGCATCTATTAGGGAAGATACGGTGGCAGAAACAGGAGGGACCGGCAAGTTTTTTTCAGGCCAGGATTTGTCTCTACCCCTCGCCGTCTGGCTTGTGGCTAGTGACAAACCAGCGAGCCTTGCTCGACCAATTAACTTGCCGGTGCTGTTGTGAAGAAAAAAAAAAAACACTCAGCGAAATTGCGCGCTAGAAAAATGCGTGGGTGGTCATCGCGCCATTCTAAGAGTTACCCGGACATCACTCACAGATTTAGGGTCAGGGGCACACCCCCCACGGACGAAAAACGCCGGCGACAATGCCCGTTTATGTACGGTTAATTAGCAATGTTGTCGTGACATTGACGAGAGCGAAAAAGCACTGGCCGAGATGAGGGCATAGCCGCGCTGCACAAGTGACGGTTTGTGTCAATCGGCGCCCTGGCGGCCAGGGTCTCGCCCCAGCCGCCACAGTGCCCGGTAAAACCACTTCCGAGGGCGACATCCCTCTATACCTCATCGCAACCAGAGCCACAATTATTTAAAAAAAAACCTTTATACTTTACGCCGGAAACGGCGATCGTTGTGACAGCGGCTTATCCCCGATCGCCTCGACGGGCACCTGAAAAGGGGAGGGAAATGATAGGCGATAGCGGACGATCTTCGCCCATGCCAAATTGCTAGCGCTAAAGCGAATTCCCTAAATCTCAGCGTTAGAGCAATTCCCTAGATCTTGGCGTTAGAGCAATTCCCTAGATCTTGGCGTTAGAGCGGTGCCCTAAATCTTAGCGTTGAGCTTATTGCCGACGATAAAGTAGCGGGTGGCCCACCAGCACACGGTGCCGAAGGCGGCGAACGCGCCGACAAACTCGACAAAGTGCTGGTACTCGGCGTGGGAGCCCTTGCCGATGATGGCGCCGCCGACGGGGATCATGCCGAGGTTGGCGAGACTGACGAAAAAGTACATGAGGCCGTAGCGCTGGCCAAACACGTCGGTCGGGGTGATGACGCCGAGACACACGGGGGTGAGCGAGAGGATGGTGGCGCTGAAAAAGCCGAAGATGGCGCTGAACGCCCACATCCCCTGCAGCAAGTGGCCAAAGGGGAGCCACACGACAAACGTCAGGACGATGGTGCCGACCATCGTCAACACCATGATGTTGTAGTGGCCGATGATGTCGCTGAGGTACCCGGGGATGATGCGCCCGGCGATCCCCGTGGCGTTGAAGATCGTCACCAACAAGTACAGCTCCAGCTCGCTCATCCCGTGGCTCATCAGGTACAGCGGCAAGTAGGTGATGGCGGACATGAGGGCGAGCTCCGTCGCCCACACCCCGAGGGTGAGGAAGATGAACCGCCAGTCCTTGAGCGCGGTATAGTCAAAGAGGCGGTGGCCGAGCCGGGCGAGGCGGTGGCCCCGTTTGCGCTCACTGGGGGGAGTGGGGCCGAGCCGGGCGCGAGCGAGGAAGATGGCGCACACCATACACCCGACACAGAAGAACCCAAGGATGCGGATGGCCCACTTGAACCCCACTTTCGGGTAGAGCAGCCGGAGCATCAACGGGATCACCACCCCGCCCACCAGGCCGCCGATGGTGGCGCTGGAGGTGGCGCGGCCGCGCTTGCGGAGAAACCAGTGCGAGATCACCAGGATCAACGGCGTGATGCAGAGGGCGTTGCCCACGCCCAAACAGATGGAAAACGCAAGCACGAACTGCCACACGTGGGTGCACTCCGCCAGACACATGTAGCCGATGGCCAAGAGGACGGTCCCCGCCACCATCGGCTGGAACAGGCCGCGGGCGTCGAAATAGGGGCCGACGACGACGCCGACAAGGAACAGCAACGCGATGTAGATCAGGAAAATCCACAGCACCGTCAGCGTCGGCACCAGCGCCAACTGGTTGCTGTCGACGTACGCCTGGACCGCCCCGACGCTGTTGAGGGTGCCGAAGGTGGCGATGAGCCCGAGAAACGACCCGAGCACCACCAGGTACGCCTCCCAGCCGCCGTCGGGGTAGGTGATGTGGTCGTCTTCGTCGAGCGACAGGGGCGCCGCCAGCGCCGCGTCGAGCGCCTCGCACGCCGTCACCGCCGCCAGCAGCGCCAGCGGGATCGTCACCATGTCGGTGTCGGCGTGGGAGGCGCCGGTGACGACATGTTCCAAGGCGATGTCGTGGGTGTACTCGCGAGCGCCAGAGGTTTTGTTCATGGGAGGGGGTCTCGGATCAGTGGGTGCGTTTGTGCTATAATGAAGTGCGCGGGGCATCGTGCGGCTTTGGCGCCCCGGTCCGAGTCATCTCCGATCGCCGCTATGGGGGCACAAGCGTCAGCCCCCTGACTCGGGAAATTTTGCGGGGAGCCCGGTAGCCATTTAATTGCTCTCGACCAAATTCGAACCTCACTCACCTGGAATTGTCTGAAGATAAGATAGGGGGAGTAAGAAAGAAAAGAAAAAACTCAGGCGGCGTGGGGGTCGCGGGAAATTCGGTAGCGGCATTTCGACTTCCGGAGGTCGCCAAAGCCTCTTCCCACACCTTTAAGGTGATTTCACGTGGTTCTCTTTTGGTAAAAGCGGTGACCCCATAGGGGGTGCGAAATAGCTTGTCCCCGCGCGGCAATACCATGAGAGTAAACCGCCTTAACGGGAAGGCTCACCCGAAGGATGGTCAATAAAACCACTTAAAGTTTTGCTGGTATTAACTTTTGATTGTAGAAATGACACCATAAATAAGGTTACCTTTGCGTTCTCGTACTCATCTCGTGGTAGATCTTAAATGCCGTGGCGACCTCCCACCACCTGGCAACACCAGTCTCGTGACGCCTAACGTCTCGTTCGCCTTGTATCACAGCATCAACGTTGCAAAAACTGAGGGCTCCTTTGCTCCTAACTTCAGTCAGGTTAGTTTTAGTGGTCACTATTCATATCTCTGGAGAGTACTAGTTATCTCTGTTTAGAGAGATTACTATGGCCAAAGTGAACTTCGAGATTACAACGATACATACGACGATAGAAGTGCAATTTGAGATAACGATATTCTCAATAATGGCACAGCTTTTTTAAAATAATGTTAGTGCGATACATATTTCGGCTATTCTCGTATACCAGTACGAGGAGGATGCAGGGAAGAGTAATTCCGAAACACGTTGGATGGGTATTTTTCATCGAATATTTAGCTTTAACTAAATGGATCAATTAGACATGGTCACGTGACCCACCCCCCTCATGGTAACCACGTTTATTTCTTTTAGATATTTTTAACGTGTGTGTGGGTGAGCGCGGCATGGCTGGTTCTGTTTCAGTGAGAGAGAGTGCGAAAATTGTAGTGAGGACCAGCCGCTGGTTGAGGGTACACGTTCCTGCACCGAGACTGCCGAAAGCCCCATTTTAATCCGGTGGGGCAAGCAACGTTGGGTAGGCTGGTAACCAACCCACCTCAGACACGTGTTCGATAGGCACACGGCGTCCCCTAGATATCCGAGTATCCTAGATTGTGCGAATAGGGGACCAATTGGCGGCTACCTTCCCGATACAGGCGATGCTGCCGGCGGTACGGCTTCGAATTTCACTTTGAGCAAAATGTGGGTGTTGTTTTTGCTTTCTTCTCATTAGATTGTTTCGGTTTTTTGTGCAAGGGCTCGCAACGCAAAAAGTCGCGACGAAGCAAGCAATCACCAATTCGGCAACCCCCTCCCGTGGTTGATGCCAGTAGTTTACTGCTAGTGGGGCTCGAGCCCTTCCGTTTACGCTAGTGGCAACTCACACAATCGGTAGCGGCCAGTGGTTGTCGGCGTTCCCCGAGTTGAGACACCGCGCCAATTACGATCCCGGGCCTCCCGCAACGCCCCGTAACCTCCTTCAGCCGCGATAGGCAAACATCGCCCCGCGCCGTGACGTCAGCGCGACGATTGCTGTGGCCCTCTCGTCAAACGCCAACGACACCACACCTCGACAACTAAGGGTTTTCCCCGGCCTTTAGCGGTTACCCATAGCTTTAACAATTACCTCATTCGTACCATTCACCTATGGCCACCACCCACTTCCCCCACCACCACTAATTGCCTCGGCGACGCCGCCGTGAGCCAATTCTCGGTCAATCAACCCATACGTAGTTTACTAAAAAAACCTGCCTTCGAAGCTTGCCTGTGTGCAGTACAAGAATTTCGCAAGCCTCGACACCGCACCACCACTCCTGCCAGGAAATTTTCCTTCCCCCAACCACCCCCCTCTCGAAAGTTTTGCCTCCCCCCTTTTTAGCTTGTCCGCCCCCGACTGTCGTTCAACGCTAGAAACCTCCACCAATGCCCAAAGCACACTACGTGACCGAGGGGCAGCCGTTGCTGCAGACGGCGCTTTACCAGCAGAAGTTGAAGCTGGGGATCTACACCACCCCCATCAAGTCTGTCGGCGTCCAGCTGAACGCCCTGGACACGGCGGCGCTCTTGGCGGCGCTGGCCGACTTGACGGTGCGCCCCGCCTACGAGCGCACCGTGGCGCAAGAAGCCCACCACGCAGCGACGCTGGCCCGGGCCCCCGCCGTTCGTGACCCCCGCGCCGACGAACAACTGCGTACCGGTACCATCAAGACCACCGGCACCGGGATCCCGTCGTTCAACCACAGCGGCATCTACACCCGCGCCGCTAAGCAGCTGACGGGGACGATGACGCTGCGGATTTACCCGGAGCACAACCAGCAGCGCGGGGGCATTGCCACCTCGCAATTGGCTCGCCGCGCCGCCGACGCTCTGGGCGACGCCGCCGTGCTCGACATCACCAAGATTAACGAGGTCGCCGGCCTCAATTCGCTGAAGCTGTTGAACTCGCGGTTTAACCCCGACTTGGACTACCGGTCGGGGCTTGCCGCCCACCAGCCGGCCCAATTCCTCAACAACAAGGAGGAGTCGTTGGCGGCTAAAGGCGCCGCCGCGTCGCTTAAGGAAGGCTACACCCACAGCGTCGCCCAACAAAAGCGCGCCAACACGTTTTCGGCTCAGGACGCCATCAACCCTAACTTATTGGCCGCGGCCAACCGCCAGGCTGCCGAGCGGCTTAAGCTGATCTCGCTGCTGGGGTCGCCTCAAGACTTCCGCAACCAGGCGCAATTGTACGCCAACGCGCTCGCGTTGGCGCAAAAGCGGTCCCATGAACGGTTGGAAAAGCACGCCCGCGGTGACATTGACTTGGGTTTGGGCGCCACCATCACCGAGGCTGAACTCAATGCCATGGCCCAGCGGATCGTGGGCCCGGTGTTGCAAGACATCGACGCCAAGGCGGCGTCGCAACGTAAGCACGCCGAGACGTTGCGGGCGGAGCGTGAGCACTTGACCCACCAACACAAGCTTGCCAAGGAAGAGGAAAAGGCGAAAAAGGCTAAGGAAAAGGCCGAGTTGGAAGCGGCCCACAAGAAGCGCCTTGCCAACCACGCGTTGATGAAGCAAGAAGCAGAAAAGGCCCACCAAGAGCTGCTCACTAAACTCGACGGGGAAATTGAAGCCGCCACCCGCGACTTGCGCGCTACCGAACAGAAGCACGCCGAAAACAAGGAAGCCTTGGACAAGAAGAAGGTCGACGTCGGCAAGGAGCTCGACGAAAAGGAAGCGGCTAAGCGTGCCGAGCGCGAGCAAGAGTTGAAGGATTTGCAAGCGGAAAAGGACGAAGAAATCAAGCCCCTCCACGCCGAATTGGAAGAACACAACGCCAAGCTCACCCAGGTCACCGACGCCCACAAGGAAGTGGAAAACGACCACAACCAAGCTCGCGACACCAACGCCGAATTGTTGGAACAAATCAAGGCATTGGAACAACGTCTCGTCGAGCAACAAGACGAAGTGGTCAAGTACACTGAGGACTTGGCGACGGCCAAGCGCGAACGGGCCGAGACGACCGAAGACATCGAGGTGTTGGAGAAGCGGTTGGATGACCAATTGGCGTCGGCCAGAACCGAGGCCCACGAGCTCGACGACGAGATCGACGACCTCAAGCGTCAACAAAAGTCCCAGGAACAGGCGAAGCAGGCTAACCGCCAGAAGGTCCAGGCTCACGTTGACGAACGGGTGAGAGATGAGCGCAAGATCCACGAAACCCTCCCGGAGCACTTGCGGGGCGAGCCCGACGAAGCCAAGTGGAAGGACACGTCGTCGTTGTTCACGGTTGAAGAACCCGAACCAGTGAAGGAAGAACCGGTGAAGGCGGCAGCCACCGAAGCGAAGTCGGCGGTCACCACTGACGCTAAGGATGCTACTACCGAAGCTAAGAATGCCGCCACTGAAGCCAAGGACAGCGCCACCTCTGCGGCGAAGGATGCTACCGCCGCCACGGAAAAGAAAGCGACTACCACCACCCCGTTATCGCCGTCCAAGCAAAAGGTTAAGTCGTTGATCCCCGACGACATCGAAATCAAGCCGGCTAAACCCGCGGCTAAGACCGAAGCGAAGGCTGAAGCCAAGACCGAAGCTAAGCCCAAGACGGAGGCGAAGCCCGCGGCGAAGGCCACCCCGACCACCCCGAAGAAGGACACCGCCGCGAAGTCCCTGGATAAAGATCAGCGTGAACAAAACCGGCAAAACTTGAAGTCTCTGTTCAACAGTACTAGCGGCACTAAGGAAAAGAAGAGCCGCAATCCGTTTGCCGGCTTCTTCTCCAGTCCCAGTGGGCAGAAGCCGTCGTCCCCGACGAAGCCCGCGGCGAAGACGACCGCCACTAAGACTACGACTGCGAAGCCCGCGACGACGACTAAAGCCTCTGAGCCCAAGAAGACGGAGACCAAGACCGCTGCCGCTACTGCCACTGCTGACAAGGCCAAGGCTGCCACTGCTGACAAGGCCAAGGCTGACACTACCGCCAAGACTGAGGCTAAGGCTGCTGAGCCCAAGAAGGAAGTGAAGGTTGACACCACTGCTAAGCCCACGGAAACCAAGGCCGACGCTAAGAAGGAAGCCACGGTGGCTGACACCAAGGTCGACTCCAAGACCGATGAGGTCACCGACAAGGTTGCTGACAAGGTCGACTCGAAGGTTGACTCTTCGTCCAAGCCCCTTGATGCCATCGCCGCTGACACTAAGACTGACACCACCAAGGCGGCTGACACTGCCAACGCTGACGCCACTGCTGCTGACAAGTCGGCGAAGCCCGTTGATGCTGTCGACTCCAAGGTTGACAACAAACCCGCAGACGCCTCTGCTGACGCGAAGCCGTTCACGGCTAAGCCTCTCGACGCCATCGACTCCAAGCCCCCTGCCCCCAAGGTGAGCGACGCTAAGGTTGCCGACGACAAGCCCCTCGACGCGTCGCACCTTAAATCGAAGCCCATCGACGCCCTCGACGAAGATTTTCCTCTCTATACTACCCCCGCGGACTCCAACGCGGGGAAGACTGGTGTCGCCGGCGCCAAAGACGTTGACGCCTCGACCAGCGCCGACGCCGCTAAGCCCTCGACGACCTCTTCGGACGAGGCGAAAAAACCTCTTCAACGTGAACCGTCTGACCTCTCCGATGAGTTCAGCTTGTCCACCCCAAAGATTGAGGAACAAGGTGTTTTCAGGGAAGAAATTTAGTTAGTTATTTTTTTTTAATTACTTAATGGATAATTGTTTGATGGAAATCGAATTGAAGTAGAAGTGAAAATTTATAAGGGAATATTTACCGATGTGTTTACTAAAACTTACTCTGACTTGAATTTTTGAAGGGATATCTAAACGTTCTGCAATCTAATGTAGAAGTGTGACGAAACACGTAAATTCAGTTGAGTGATACCAACTACTTGCGATGTGATATCGTCATACCCAAAGCCTCCACGAAATTGAGTATAAGCTTTGAAACACTAGAGGACGTCTGGAGCTCCCACGGCCTCTCTATATATCATCCATAATACGAATACAAAAAAGATCTCTTTGGCGGGGAATCGAACCCCGATCTCCCGCGTGACAAGCGGAAATACTAACCGTTATACTACCAAAGATTTCTTACTACTTTGACATTTGTGGTTTTTCAAGTTTTCACATGTCATTAAACTCAATCTATATTGTCATTTTTTTAATTATTTTCCAATCCATTAGCACCTTTCGAGCCTTTAAACAACGGTTGAAATAATAACTAAATCCTGACGCCATTGCTACGGGTTGTACCCACTTGAGTTCAAAATTCGACTAAGTCTGATCGAGTTCAAAAACCTTGCTTCTCTGTATTTATGGAGATAAGACTACTACATGAGACTCTAAATGGCCAGAATTAGCTCTAGGGTTGAATGAACCCGCCGGTAGGGAGCTGTTCATGGTCAGGAGTTACCGGGACAAACAAAAATATGTATTCAAGCGGGAGTTAGTATCCACTAATCAAGTATATGAGTTTACGACCTTCATGATTGGGGGAGCGTGCGGCTATGTACTGATTAGGTGGGAGCCAAGTGATGTTTCATGGCTTAATGCAACGGTCGAATAAGACCGATGGCGGCAATGCGTCAACATGCCAACAATACCCACTCGGTAGACAGTGGGCCCACTAGTCCGAGAAATGCAAGTATAGCTCTAGCCATCAGTCGCTTAATGACAACGTTGCACTAAACTCACCATAGTAGAACTCACCATCTCAACTGGCACTACAATTGACAAAAAATCGACAAACGGGCAAGGTAAAGACTAATCACCACCGATATTCTGATTCTCATTCGCTTTTGGTGTAGTTTCAACAAAGCCGCTTTTTAAGTGAGTGGTTTGGGCCACCTATAGTGTGTCCTCAATTTACTTCCCTCGGTGATGACGTCACTGGCGGGTGGATGGGTGAGGCAGGACGACTGGCTTCTGCCACTCCAGTCACGCTGAACTACACACAGATCTACTCGAAACAAATCTAGACTACTGAAAAATAGGCCACCGTGAATCTAACTGCCAACCTAATATGGCGTAGCGCTGGCCCCTGATCTGCTCGCTCAAGTAATGTGTGAGATTAGTGGGCCACAGTTACCAACCCGCTAAAACGTCCAGATACACCTTCAGTTTTATGTTAATGCTATCCCACATATTGTTATTGAGAAGAATTGGGGTTGTTTTGGGGGGTGTTGCTCAACTTGTTGAGGGTTTAGGGCTGGTGCCACTACCACGACAGCGTCGATACGACCGACCCTGATATGCTCCTTCCCTCTTAGAGGAAGGGCAAAATACCTGAACAGACAGCGTTTGACGACATTTCTATTGGCGACGGTGGGGTCCCTTGAGTGTTTTCATTGTTTTTGTCGAAGCGCGTGGCGCGTAGCCAAATCCGCCCAGTAGCAATGGCTCGTCCATTAGCCCCACAATAGACAGTGCAAAGACCTCCTGGTATGGTGAATCAGTAAAGTATTGTTGGGTTGGTGTGGCATACGATACACACGACGAGGTGTCACCTCCTCCCCTCACTGGTTCCAAGGTCGACGCTGAAATGCGTGCCTCACCGCTAGCCGACGTGAGCGGGGAGGGCGGTGTCCCTCGAGCGCCGCCACCGACGCGTCGAGGGTTCGCATCGACCTCAATGACCACAGGGATACGCAGCGACCGACCAGAGTAGCAATGAGGGGGGTAAACGGCCTTATGAGTGGTCCGTAAACGAACAACCCTCGTGAGCCAAGGGGCTACCACAAAGACCACTACCAAAAGTTAGCTTGTCGAGCTTTGTCAACTATTTTACCTCTTTTAGGTGCTCCGTCGTCTAAGTTTCTTTTTCTTAGATCGCGCGGTAGATTCATTGTACACCCATCGTCAATCCTCGATCGACGGCTAACTTAAATAATTGTGCGCAGCCCGATTTACATCCACATCGTACCCCAACAGCAGCGGCAATATTCGAGTTTCCATGATGATCGAGCCTCACCAAAACCACAACTGGAATAAGGTGGGGGGAGTTTCCAACGACTCACCGCGTTATGGTGCCCAGGAAGGCACCTCTTTCCCCAGCGACAACGTGAATCCCCAGTCGCTCATGCTTGACCCAAATCAAGCTGGTGGTCACTTGTATGAAGCTACTGGGATTGGAACGGAAGGCAACGACCAAACACGTGCCAACACAGGTGACGAGAATGGATATCACTACTCGATGAATCTGGCGGGCTTCATGTTCGAAGAGAACACCTTACTTCACCCTGCTGACAACAACGTCGGTGGACGGACTATGGTTGCCGGTTCGACTTTTGTCGCCAGTAATGTTGGCATTAATGGCTTAATGGACGTCGCTACCGACTATGATTCCAATAATGACGATTCCACTGTGACGGTCGGCGAATATCCCGATGTGGCGGACAACGACTCCACCAGCGCCGACACGGACTCCGAAGGTGAAGAGTCTACTCTAAATGCCACCAACGGCAACGAACGCACTGCCCGGTTAAGCGTACAAACTGCTCAATACCCCATCACTGACTCCGACGCCGAACGAATGGAAGAAGAGGCAATGCAACTTCTTTATGATAATGCCACTTTCCCCGAATGGAACTGCCTTAATCACCCCAATTTTTACAACATTACCCAGTTGAACCTGGAATTCAAGAAGGGGGTGGAGTGCCTTTCAAATATCATGTCGCTTCACAAGTTTGCCCACACAAACCTCCAAGCGAAATTCGTTAGTAAAGCCATTTTTAATTTCACCATGGATGTGGCTATGGACAAACTTTGCCTTTGGACAAACAACTCCGGTAAGGGCATTGCCTTCAAGAATGTCATAGACGGCTTTGAAAAAATGGATCAACTTGTGGAGTTAGTGTGGAATTGTTGTCTTCACCCAATTGCAATGGCGACCAAGAAGTGTCGTCGGCGCTCGAGTCAGCTGGTGGTTTCCCGCCCACTCTTGATGGAAGCGTTAGCCCAATTAGGGGTCACCCAAACCCCTACCTATTTCGTGATAGCGCTAGTGCATGAATGGACGCCAGAGATGGGACTTTGCGGCGCCATATTTGAATTCTTGAAGGACAAACAACCACCCTGGTACGGGACACTTCCTCTGAACCATCTGTTGCAAAATATCGTTGAGATGTGGCAAACTGTGAGCACCTTCAAGGAAGTCCTTTACGAACGAGACCCTCGTCATTTCATTCCGAAAGATAATGACTTCAACGAGCTCGGCCACTTGCCACGCCCAGGTGGACCCGGATTCGAGAAACTGTTGTATCACGCTGAGTATTTTCAGTATGTCATGCAATACGTCGAACTTATGGCGGCATTGACCGCACAATTTGTCAATGATCAAGGCCATTTGACGAGAGGAGCGTTAAAGCAAGTTCGGAAAAAGATTGAGGAGACACTCTGGGACAATCCTCGTTGGAACGGGCAAATGGTCACTTTGAAAGAGTGTAACTCGTCAGCGTCGTTGGTGGAATGGTGCTTGGACAACATGTTGTCTGCGTATGATATCGCAGGAATACTCTACGTCATTGCCAACATGACATTGGACCCCGAGCAAGTGGATACGCCGCAGTTACTTTGGAAGATTCAAGCACACTTGCCATATTTGGCATACCACTATCCGTTCCTCTTGGAGGCCTTACAGTCGGGCCCGTGGAGTCAGGTGTCCCCAAAGATCGCCTTTATAATCGACCAGTTGAGAAGAAACTGGCGGGCGCATTACCGACGCATGGAAGTAACTGTGGAGGGGTTCGACGTGCTTAGGGAGAAATTCCGGAAGCTCAGACTGTCGCCGAATAGCTTTCGACGGAGCGTACAATCTGGCCCACCTTGGCGTGCCTAGTGCCGGCGCCCGCCCTTTATTGACGTGGCCGTACCCACGAAGCGAATGAGTATAACTAGTGATGTAATTTGTTTTTAGGAAAGCAACAACGAAAGAATCTTCATGTAGCCGATAGAGCATTCCACTGGATTGCCAATCGGAAGTTGAACTTGTTCTCTGACAGCACGGCACGGGGGGCTGGTTAGTGTTTGACATGGACCTCCTTCAAAAAGGGCTGGCGCACAAATAGGGTGACAAGCCGTTAAAAAGTGGACGATTGTCTTCGAGGGATCGAATATTGTTTATCCTGACCAGTGCAATTGGAGGGCACGAACCCTAATCCAGACTGTAGCAATCTTCGTTGACTATTTTAGGAACGGCCCCAGTGCATCACCCTTTTAGAAACAGGTTTCATGACAGCGTGAGCATCTGCGATACTCGTGGTGAACCGGTTTCGTATAAGCATAATGGATAGACCAGGCAGACGGACCTTTTAGTTAGCAAACAAAAATTGAAACAGTATCAGCACTTCCCTTGTGGAAAAATTATCGGGATGTTTGATGCAGTCTCAGAAAATTGCCCAATTCGGACTCTCTAGTGGTAATAGACTCTGACGCACGTGTCTCCTTGGTGCGAGTCACTTGTCATTCTGGATAGCGGAAGCTTTAGTCAGCAGCGGTGGCTAATCTTCTGACTCGACCATGACTATACGGCAATGCCACACTGTCTCTTGACTGCTTCAACTGTACTTTTATTCATTCTCACGTTCTTCATCATGCCGGCGTTGTGAGCCCTCCGCTGCGAAATCTTTCACCATCATTGTAGCCCGTATGGGTCCGTCAGCTTCGTGGAGGTCAGCTTCGTGGAGAAGCCTCAGCCAAGTTTGCACAAATCACCAAGAGTTCACCGTTGGGAGCGGCAAACACCACCCACCGCTTCGCCAATTTATTACTAACCCTTGCGGATGAGGGCATTTTCATCCAATGAATCAGAACGTCTTGTTCAAGGATCGTGTTTGTTCCCTATAAACCGGTGTTGCCGGATTGATGTGCTACTATCAACGCAGCTCCCTTTGACTCTTCGTTCAGGCCGCTAGTAGTTGACAGAGACTACTTTTCGACGCATCGGTGGAAGTACCGTGTGTGTGGGCTATAGTCAGCTGTGGTGCCGTCAGCTATGGTGCCCATGATGATATCCTTCCGCTCGACTCATGTGTGCAATGAAGTGGCTTCTGGCTGGCCTCTGGCGTTGCTGTGTACCTCAATTTTCTCGAGCTTGTCGGAAATGGAGATTTTTTAACAATAACCGCTGAAGACCGCCCGGGCGGTGTGCCTCTACACTTCATTTCATCTTCTAGATATCGGATGAACGATTCCGCGCCAATCTAATCGTTGCCGGCGATTGAACACTAGCGTCATCAAATTTTGAAACAATTTATTGGGACGTTGAAGCATTTCAACGCCAGAACTTCTGAAATCGCGACAACTGCTGTTGTCGCGGACTGCTTGTTAAGCGTCACTTGGGTCTGAAACCAGGCCTGGCATTATCAATCAAGGCCACGCCGAAACCAGCGCTGTTTGCTGTTGAACCTGCCACTGCCATCATTACTGCCAAGGTTGCAACCCCAGAAACCAAGTTGACACTTCCTAAGGCGGAGGATGAATTGCCACCTCCCGAATTGGAACATGAACTACCACCTCCCGAATTGGAACATGAACTACCTCCTTCCAAATTGGAACATGAACCACCTCCTTCCAAATTGGAAGACGAATTACCTGCTTCCAATGCGCAGAACTTTGCACCTACCGCTACTGGTAAAGCTAGTCCTACAGTTGCCATCCAAACTGCTAAGGCTTTTCCTTTGACCCCGCCACCACCTCCTCCCAATTCAGGTCAAAGTTCTGGAGGTAAAGGCTCGAGTGGTAAACGCCACCGTACCTCAAATGGGGTCTTATCATTGGTGGTACGGGTGTGGTGCTCTTCCTTACTAGCGACTTAGCCCGCCACATCTTCAATTGCTACGAACGGTGTGCGATTGTCGCTGTAACTGTGGCCCGCAACTTTAAGCTCTACAAGGATTGTCTTGGTGCCGAATACCCTAATGAGGAAGCTTACCGGGAAGCGTTGTCCAAAACTCACAAGAAAGCTGCTGAAATCACTTATAAGGCCATTGAACGGAACGGTGGGATCTATATAAAATTGGGTCAACATATCAGTGCCCTTACTTACCTGTTGTCTCCCGAATGGTGTGAAACGATGATTCCTTTGCAAGACCGGTGCCCGAGATCGCTGATGGAAGAAATCGAAAACATGTTCAAACATGACATGGGAGTGCTGATCAACGATAAGTCCAGTGAGTTTGATCCTAACCCCGTGGGGGTGGCGTTGTTGGCCCAAGTGCATGTAGCTCGTTTCTGTCTGAGTGGGGAGATGGTAGCGGTTAAAGTGCAACACCCTCTGCTTTCGGAGTTTATGCCGTTGAATGTATACGTCACCAATAGTTTGTTCAGAGCTATGGAACGGTTCTTCCCTGAATACCCGCTTTTGTGGTTGGGCGACGAAATGCAACAGCTGATTCACAATGAGCTCGACTTCACCAATGAAGCTCTGAATGCTGAAAACACCGCGGGAGACTTTAAGTCTCGTGCTCGGAACACTGCCCTCAAGATTGTTCTGGCTGGAAAGCGGATCTTGGTGATGGAATACGTTGCGGGTGCTCGTCTTGATGACTACGCTTACCTCCAACGACACAATATCGATCCGGTTCAGGTATCGCTGTGTTTGCTGCACATCGTCAACACGATGATTTTCGTCCCTGGCATTGGTCTTCACTGCGATCCTCACGGGGTCAACTTATCGATCAGACACGTGCCTGTGAAGGAAATCACCAAGGGCTTCAACTTCTAAATTGTGTCTTACGATCACGGGCTTTGCCGGACGCTGCCGCTCGTAATGAAGCAGGAATACTCGCACTTCTGGCTCGCTGTGCTTGATAACGATATCCCCGCTATGCGCTATTGGGCTGAGGAGTTTGCCGGCATCACTGAAGACATCAAGTTCCAGATCTTTGCTGCTGCCATCACTGGAAGAGCTCCCGAAATTGCCCTCAACTTCGACATGTCGAAACTGCGCCTGAAAGACGAGATCTCCCACATCCAGCCACGAAGAAGGCGTCTTAGAAGGGTTGATGGAGTTTTGAGCACAATGCCTAGACTTTTGCTTTTAATCTTGAAGACTAACGATTTGACTCGTTATTTGGACGAAGGGTTACGCAATCCTTTGGGGCCTGTGCGGACGTTCTCTATTTTGGAGAAGTACTATGCCAAGATCGTATATGACGAGGCTATGGACGGGCTCCGGTACCAGTACAGTCTGTGGCTGGTGGTGGGTAACTTGAAGCGGTTAAGCACGTGGTGGGCTTACCAGACACGGTGCTCGCTGTTGTACATTTACGACCTTCTCTTCTGGGTGAAGAATGCGTTCAAAGGAACCCACTAGACTATTTATATCTTGTTGTATAGTTAATTATAAACATGTGATACGAAACTTACAATTGATTCATGTTGGAGAATGATTCACGAAATATGCTAATTCATATGTATTCAATTGCTTCGCCGAACTACGGTTCATCTCTAGTTATTTGTGAGTTGCAGTCTCGAGGTTCTGATGATTTGGCCCAACATGTATATGAGCAGATCGCCCTTTCTTGTACGCCTGTTGCTTTAGAGAAGAAGGTCCCGTTGCAGCATTCGAAACCGAAGTTTGAGGGAGTTGTTTTGATTGTCGTCATACATAGAAAGCCAATTGTTTCAAGTGCACCATAGAGGAACCTTGCCATGACCTGCGGTGAGGAAGTGGTTTTTGAAGGAAGGGTTCGGCTGATGCTGGGGTTCATTGACTGGTCCTCGGGAGGGCCTGATCTGAAAGTTCTTTGGGGCGTCGCCACCAAAAAAAGCACAAACACATTCGTAATGCTTCGCCACAAGGGCATTCAAAAGTTGTGGCTGAATCATGAGACTAATGGTGGTGCATCGGTGGTGCATGGAAGTGGAGGATTGAAAACTCATCCGGGTAATATTGCAAAACCAATGAATTTTGGCACCCATCCCCAAAACCCTCACAACTAGTATACTGTCTTGAAAATTTTTCAGCCATTATCAAGGCCAATCTCTGAATTCTTACACAACTGGCGCTCACGATAAGTGTATTTTTACGACTTACTTACGCTTTCCATTGATCGTCATCGTGTAGCTGCTCGATGCCTTCTCAACCGTGTATCACCAGATGGTAATCTATGATATACGTAAAATGATGTTTAACAGAAGTGAATGAGCCCCGTGCTTTGTGTTAACAAGGTAGAGTCCCAATCCGTCTTCATAGGGTCGAAGCTTGCACAGCTGATAAGTTACATCTTTCAATTAGATGCCTCACTCGTGAGAACCCCAACACCTCAACAGGTGCACAGTGAAGTCGCCGGAGTATGTTTGACGTCGCCACTACCTGCCGCCTTGCAGTAAATGGCCACCCGTCAGATTTAATAGCTCGGCCCCAGGTTCGCGTTCTGTTATGGTGTGTAATCAGCTGGCTGTCGCTGTATACATTCATGTAGACTATGCTGTGGTAGAGGCACAAGGGCTCAAACAAAGTGTCCTAGCGTATCAGACGACCACTTTCTTGCACGGAGTGAGCCATACTTTTGTGGTACTTGACACGAGCAGTTCTCCCACTTGATATACCGGTTGTAGTGGTAGTATTCTTTAAATATCATCAAAACTCCCCGCAGAACGAAGCGTGACAGTTGATGTTGGATGCCGGATATTGCGCCCCCCAGACAGACGTCGCGTGCCATGAGGAAACGAGGGGGAAGCGCTGCGGCTGCCGTTTCGATGGATCCCGGACTATATGCAGACCTCCCCTCTCTCTCGACTTGCGCTCATGTTTAACAATAACCCAACCTTTTTTATCTTTTATCCCTTGCCATTACACCGTCTCTAATCAGGGTATACCTCACCGCTGGCAAACTCCGGAGAAGAACTGATTGGTAAGCGATACTGAGACAGCTACTATGGCAGCCCGCAGAAATCGACAAGGAAGACCTCGACAAAGAAGACTTCGACAAGGAGCTCAACGAGGAAGAGTTCCACAAGAAAGAGCTCGACAAGAGAGAGCTCAACAAGAAAGGGCTCGACAAGAGAGAGCTCGACAAGAAAGAGCTCGACAAGGAGCTCAACAAGAAAGAGCTCAACAAGAAAGAGCTCGACAAATAAGAGCTCGACAAGAAAGAGCTGAACAAAGAATAGCTCGACAAAGAGCAGGCGAGGAACACATCACGAATAATGCCACGTTGACACTCCCACTGTGCGAGATGCTCGAAAATATCGACTACTCCGAGGGAGACATCCCGCGTCTTTGCCAACATTACGATGACTTTGTGAATCTCATTACCATGTTCGACCAGCTTCTTGCGCAAAATAAAGTGTCCATGGGCTATGTTCAAAGAAGACGCATTGTTTGGGCTCTCATGGTCGCAGTTGCTCAACGACTTGGGTACGGCGAAGACACCGATATGTACCAAATAATGACAAATTGTCTGACTGTGGAGCAAGCTCATGGTTTCTTCTGGAACCAATTGCTCGATCCTTATGCCATGATAGCCAAGGTCTACTGGTTGCGCCGCCAGAATGAATTCAAATTCGACAATTACCACCACATTGTCAACATTCCTTCCAGCTTTTCTGCAGTGGCGTTATTTAGTGATTGGGATGCAACGAAAGAATTCTGTAAGCTAGAGCTTGACCTGTTGAAGGAAGCCCACGTTCCATGGTATTGTTTGAACCCCCGCACTTCGATTGAAAATCTTGACAACTGGCGGGCGGTCCCTCAGCAAGGCGCCGGAGATTTTGTCGAAAATCCCTGTCCGTATGTTGCACGCACACCTTATGAAGAAAAACGTCTCGCTGACGTCATTTCTAAACTCAACTTACCATGGCGTGTCGATGATCTTGCTGCTACCTCGACCCCGCTTGAATGCAGTGAATACTATGACAGGGCTATCGATTACAAGGAGACACTTCGGCGTGTGGTCAAAGTCTTCTTGAGGTTGAAGGACCTGTTAAATGAAGTTGAGACCTGTACCATCGGGCGAGCAATCGAAGAAACGCTGCACGTCTGGTTTCGCGCTGATTGGCCCGAAAGCAACGCAGCCAGGGAATTGTTCGAGTGTCAAACTTGGGCCGACTATGACAAATGGTTTATGATCTTCATGATGCCTCTGCTTGCAATTATGGGTAAGATCTATGTCGTTTCGAACCAATGGCATACAGTCGATTCATGTTTGGAAGCTCAAGCCAAAGTGCCGTTCTTGGCAAACCACTGCTGCCTCTTGTGGGATATCTCTCGGATGTTCCCATGGGAGGAAGCGTCCACCGAGGGCACTATTATCGTCGCGAATTGGAGGGACCAACTGGAAAACTGGTGGAAGCCCCGCACCCCAGAAAATCTGCCGTTGCTGCTGATGGACGTTGATCAACTTTGGGGAGTGAAGCTTGGACAAGATCCTGGGCCGATTCGCGAGCTCCAGCCCCCTTACAACCGCATCACTCACTTGCCTTAACCCAATCAATGGACGCGATGACGAACGACGAGCCATGAAATATTTAGCGAGATAAGCGAAACTCTCATGAATGGAATAGTGTACTGACTTTTCCCTGTAGGCCGAAGCATAAGCACTACGACTAATTGAACAGTCGACACTGGACGTGACAAAGTCGTCGAGAAGGGTACCACGCAAGCCAATTGAACACGGATGACAGTAATGGTGGTCGACACCATCAGACTTACATCGGTCAGGCAGGTTCGCCGTAGCCTGCCGCTGGCGCAGTCTCACGTGTACGAGTTAATGACCAAATCATACCCCCACAATCATCGACTACGTCTATCAATTTCCCTTCCATGGTATTATGATTTCATCATAGTTCTTGGTGACGATAGAAACACATCTCGGCCAATCTTATCACCACCACCGCCATCGATCAACCGGACTTAACTCTGCATGCCACTCGGAATGTTGAAAGTTATGCGATATTGACCTAAATGATAGAAACGTTAAGATCCTCACTCGAAACCAAGTAGGCCAAGTCCCATCCAACGTGAAGTGATGTAGTGAGCTTTGGCTACTCCCATCAGTGACGACTGATTGAGCCAAAAACTTTAGCGCTTAGCACTTCTGTTTATCGAAATGAACGTGGCGGAAGTCGCCAAACTGCTGATTGCCATATTGCTTTGGTTGTCCTTGCGACGGTGCTCAAGAACGTTTTTATAAATCCAGGTCCGTTCATGTTATGCAAGTTTCATGTTATGCAACATCGTGAAGATACGTATGAAATGACAACAGCATTGGAATCTGCCCATGATAGGTGTTTCTTAAACACAACCACGCTGATACAAAGCGTTAATGAACAAGGTCTCAGCAACTTCATCGAATGGATTGACAACCCCAACAACATCATTCATGGATACGAGTCACGAAGTTAGGTTAATCAAATTTGAACTGGGTGTTAGGGTCCGTGAGGGTCAGACTTGAGGGTAAACCTGGCCTGAAATTAATTGTAATAACTTGCTTCCTCGGTCGAGGGCTTCGAACCGCGTGGTATTCGTATGTGGTAAATATTGGTGGCTTCATAAAAAGGCCCAGCCGTCTCATATATCCGCTGAAGGTTTATGAGTAACGGCATAAGCTAGGATGGCTGACGCGATTCCTAGTCTATTATGGCTAAAACACTCGACATTAGAAAACGGACTGCGAACTTTTTCCGCAAAACCTGCATTTGTGCCGGAACCTAACCCTGCTGATGCGCGGAAATCGACGGGGTGACTTTATGCACTGGCTTCCGCGCGACATTGGTGGTTGCCACAGAGACCTATCACCAAAGTACAAACCGCCAACGCCCCTTCCCCCGCTGCTCTGTACTCCCAGGCAGTGAAAGTTAATGGTACGTATGACAATGGCTGATTGCCAGTTTACATTGAGATAAATATTAACGTCAGGTTTCATCTACGTGTCCGGCCAAGTACACCACACCCCCTCGGGCGACACCCTCGCCGACGCTCTGACTGCTGAAAAGGCTGAGCAATGTATCCTTAACGTCAAGAACGTGTTGGAGGCCGCTAATCTGGACTTAGCTCACGTGGTCAAGTGCACATGCTTCTTGACCGACATGAGTCAGTTCCCCGAGTTCAACGAGGTGTATGCCAAATACTTCGATGCCACTAAGCCCGCAAGACTGTGTGTTGCTGTTAAGCAATTGCCTTTGGGTTGCACAGTAGAAGTTGAGGCCATTGCCATTGAGAAGCTGTGAATCATTATTTTGAATATTACGCTCCACTATACAAACAATTGAGCCGACCCCGATCACACATCGAATATACGAAAAATATGCCTAATGAAGTTGGGAATGGGTTGGTTGGCCTTGGCCAACCGGTCCAGTATGTCGGTAAATGGATCAAAGAAAACAAAAAATGAATTAAAAAACTAAACTTCGAATCTGGCCGAATATAGGTTCAAGAAAGCGGACTATTAGTATCTCTCACTGTAGAATTGTAGGCTACGTCAATGCTGGCCGGTTGAAAATAGCCGAAGTTTGTAATTTCAAGAAATGAAGGTTTCATGTCTTTAGGGATGACCTGCCAGTCAACCTCAAAATCAAAGACTACTCAACCTTTGAAGTAATTGAATCTATCGAATATAATATGGAATAATATTTGGTAGTGGCTATCGCATATATTACGTCAATTCATGCAGATCACTTAAAAAGCCACACGAATTTAAAGGAGAACTCGTATAGTCTTGGTAGGGAAGATATTTAGTGCTATCATTCACAAATTTACACACTGACAAAGTTTAGGATTTATCTTTCCCTACATTTTCAATCCGATCAAGATTGTGTATAAATGCAAGATATACAGAAAATTATGATGGTCCACGCCAAATGTTTTCAAGAATTCGCTAACAAATGGCCCGCGATGGGAGCAGTGACTGCTAAGCGTGGCCATTCCTATCAATCCTTCTCAATAGACAACTCCAATAAGCTCATGAATCCTTTTTCAATACATTTTGCTACTAAATGGCGCCTTGATTACCAACGATGATGGCACCTCTTTGACGTCCGCGATGCCTGTACCCCGGGTTTATCTGAGTCATCGGAGTCGCGCATACAACTCCGAAGAGTACCACACCTTCGCCCGCCGTTTACTAGGTTGCAGTCATGACGTCCGAGTCCCGCTTGGAGCCGATAGCGGAAAGCATCCCTATGGTGCCCATGGAACGGCTGACGAGCACCAACACCCATTTGACTCAAAGACGGCAGCTGGTGGCAACAGTGGCCACCCAGGCTTCGAGGTGGTCATCGCAGTCGCAGCTCCGCCAACTCGATGAGGAGGCCAAGGCGGAACTTCCTCATACCATCTTCACCAAGCCGGAGAAGTACGTGATTGTGGCGCTAGCGGGGATCGGTGGGTTTTGGTCGACGATCTCGCTGCCGATCTATCTCCCCGTGTTACCTGTACTCGAGCAGCAGTTCAACGTCAGTGAGGAGAAAATGAACATCTCGGTGGTGGTGTACCTGATATTCCAAGGGCTTGCTCCGGCAATTTTCTCCACTCTCTCCGACCAGTGGGGCCGGCGGGTCATCATTTTAGTCTGTCTAGGCATCTATGTTTTGGCCAACATTGGGTTAGCGTTGAACCACACCTACGGTGGCCTCATCGGGCTCCGCTGTCTCCAGGCATTCGGCGTGGCTCTGACGGTGACGGTGGGCAGCGGCATTGCCAGCGACATCACTCTAAAGGCCGACAGGGCGCTGTTCATCGGCTTGTGCACGGGGCTTTCGCTTCTTGGCCAAGCGTTTGGGGCATTGATTGGTGGGATGATCTCCCTGGCCCTTGGCTGGCGGGCGATTTTCTGGTTCCTTGCCATCGCTCTGGGGGTGACGTTGGTGGTGATCTACTTGATGCTTCCTGAGACCACCCGGTCGATCGTTGGCAACGGCAGCGTGCTACCGAGGAAAATGTCGCTTGTCGCCACTGCTCCCATCTTAGCCCTCCCCACCTTCAAAGCAAGGCTCATGCCTCGAGGACAAACAAACTCGTCGGTGGTGGAGTCTAGGGCATTCACGGTGTTCGCTCCCTTCAAGATTCTTGCTCACGTCCCCGTGGTGTTGGCGTTAACGCCAATGACGGTGTGCTACGTGTTGTGGTTGATGATGTTGACGACGTTGCTGACATCATTGTCAAAATCCTACGGCTATTCGACGTCGCTGATTGCGCTTTGCTATATCCCCAGTGGAATCGGGGGGCTTGTAGGGACAGTGCTGATTGGGAAGATTCTCGACTGGACCTATAAAACTCGGTATCTGGCGTATTTAGCGTCTAAAGACCGCCAGACGAAGAAGGATCCCAAGTTCAACATCTTCAAGGCTCGTCTTGTGGTATCGTTGTTACCCACAGTGCTTTGCAGTGCCGGATCCCTCATATTTGGTTTCTCCATTCAGTACCAGACACATGTGCTGGCTGTATTGATAGCATCGTGCATGATTGCGATGGGAGCGATGATCTACCTAACCATTTCCACCACTGTCTTAGTTGATTTGTATCCCACTCAGCTGCTGGGATCATCGCTGTGTGTCAATTTGACGCGGTGCTGGGCGGCTGCGGTGTTCATCGCCGTGTTGACCCAGATGGTAGATGCCATGACCGTGGCCGGGTGCTATGGGTTTATGGCAGGTTTATGTGCGATGCTGGGGTTGTGTGCTGGCTACTTGTATTGGAAATCCGAAGATTGGATATGAGGAACTCATTAAAAAATTAGCATGAAATTTGTATATAAGTCTTACCTGATTGTGGGTGATAAATTTGCATCATATTTGACATATGTTTAAGTAGAATACTAGAAACCTAATCAAGAAAAGCTACAAATATTAAAAACAACAACGACACAACTTCATTGACAAGGCAAAGAAAGGCAAAAACATTGCGCAAACCCGGAATCGAACCGGGGGCCCAACGATGGCAACGTTGGATTTTACCACTAAACCATTTGCGCGCGGATAGAAATCTGTTCGGAATGGTTTATACTGTCTGGCCGTCGCATAGGCCGTTTTTGGATTTGCACTAGTCACGTGATATAGCATCTTAAATTGGAAGGGAAAATTAAATGCGCGGCGCGCGTCGCACCCACGTGAATCATCAGAGTAAGGCCATATTAATAGGTCGACAACCTTCTCCGCCACCAGCACGTACCCGTCTTCTCTCCTTTCACCAAATAAAGTAAATATAATTCACGCAATGGCTTCTTCACATTCCTAGACTTTTAGTTGCATCTTAAACCGGCGCGCTAACCCAATTGTCATTGAGGTTATGCGAGGTAAATTAGGTATGCCATACGCCCCTCTCCATATTCGCGACTACGGCGCTAATTATCATCAGAATACTAGCCGTTGACGATAAGCATCATCTAACAAGAGCTCAATCACTTGATGATCCTACGGTTGCCTCCCTGTATTCATCGCCGATACCGGCCACCACTTTGCGCTCACCCCACACGAGAAAATTTACCACCTGCATATAGGCTTATCGCAGGTGACTCTGTCCCGACTCGTCCACTAACAAACACTGAAAAATTGTTCAGCTCCCACACACGCTCTATGGTTGCCCAAATTCTCGACGGTAAGGCGGTGGCGCAACAGATCCGCTCGGATCTCCACCTCGAGATCGACCAGTTCAAAGCTAAGCACGCTGACTTCGCCCCGAAGCTCGCGATCGTCCAGGTGGGCGCCCGTCCCGACCTGACCACCTACGTGAAAATGAAGTTGAAGGCGGCTGAAGAAGCCGGCATCAACTGCGACATCATCAATCTCCCCGAAGACACCACCGAATTCAACGTGTTGCTGTTGGTGGCTAAGCTTAACGCCGACATCGCCGTTGACGGTATCTTGGTGCAACTCCCCCTCCCCAGCCACATTGACGAAAAGAAGGTGACGCTGGCGGTGCTCACCGACAAGGACGTCGATGGGTTCGGCCCCGAAAACATCGGTGAGCTTGCCAAGAAGGGCGGCGAACCGCAATTTTTGCCGTGCACGCCCAAGGGGATCATGGAGTTATTGGACAACGCTGGCTGTAACGTCGCCGGCAAAAACGCCGTGGTGTTGGGCCGGTCCGACATTGTCGGCAAGCCGGTGGCGCAGTTGTTGACGAGAGCCAACGCCACCGTCACCACCGTCCACTCGCAAACGCCGTTGGACATGTTGCAGCTGTACGTGTCGATTGCCGACATCGTCATTGCTGCCATTGGCAAGCCTCACTTTGTCCAAGGCGACTGGATCAAGCCCGGAGCTGTGGTGATTGACGTCGGGACCAACTTCATCCCCGACGCTCTGAAGAAGCTGGGCCAACGGATGGTCGGTGACGTCGACTTCGACCTGGCGAAGGAAAAGGCGCTGTTCATCACCCCTGTCCCCGGTGGGGTGGGGCCGATGACGGTGGCGTGTTTGATGGAAAACGTGGTGTTGGCGGCCAAACGCCACTACGCGCAAAACAACGTCACCCCGAAGTTCACCAACCCGCTCAAGTTGAACTTGCAGACGCCGGTGCCGCTGGACTTTGAGATTCTGCGGGCCCAGGAGCCGAAGAAGATCGACGCCGTCGCCAAGGAGGCGGGGGTTTTGGACCTGGAACTCGAGTTGTTTGGCCTGTACAAGGGTAAGGTGTCGCTCAAGCTTTTGGACCGGTTAAAGCACAAGCGCAATGGTAAGTACGTGCTCGTCACTGGGATCACCCCCACCCCCTTGGGTGAAGGGAAACTGACCACTACCGTGGGGTTGGCGCAAGCGTTGGGGGCCCACCTCAACAAAAACGTGTTTGCCAACGTTCGTCAACCGCTGATGGGTCCCACTTTCGGGATCAAGGGTGGTGCTGCCGGTGGTGGTTACTCGCAAGTTATTCCCATGGACGAGTTTAACATGCACGTCACTGGTGACATCCACGCCATCACCATGGCCAACAACTTGTTGGCTGCTGCTATCGACACCCGGATGTTCCACGAGTCCACGTCGAAGCTGATTTCTGGTTTCTACAAGCGTTTGGTCCCGGCGAAGAAGGGGGTGAGAACGTTCACTCCCTCGATGCTCAGAAGACTCAAGAAGTTGGGTATTGACAAGACCAACCCCGACGACTTGACTGAGGAGGAAGTGGAACGGTTCGCCAAGTTGGACATCGATCCCGACACCATCACCTGGCGCCGGGTGGTCGACTGCAACGACCGGTTCCTCAGAGGCATCACCATCGGTGAAGCCCCCACCGAAAGAGGGTTCACCCGCAACACCGGGTTCGACATCACCGTGGCCCTGGAGTGCATGGCGATTCTTGCCCTTGCCAACTCGTTGGAGGACATGCGTGAACGTTTAGGGGCGATGGTGGTGGCGCTGTCGAAGCTGGGCGAGCCCATCACTGCCGAGGATATCGGCTGTGCCGGCGCGTTGACTGCGTTGTTGAAGGACGCCATCAAGCCTAACATCATGCAAACGCTCGAAGGCACCCCCGTGTTCGTGCACGCCGGTCCTTTCGCCAACATTTCCATCGGGGCTTCATCGATCTTGGCCGACAAGATGGCACTCAAGCTTGTGGGGACTCTGGCCGACGTGCTGGAGGAAGAACAGCGGGAACAAGAAGGTTACGTTGTCACTGAGGCCGGTTTCGATTTTACCATGGGCGGGGAACGGTTCATCAACATCAAGTGCCGATCGCTGGGACTTGAGCCCGATGTCATTGTCATTGTTGCCACGGTGCGGGCGCTTAAGGTCCACGGCGGTGGTCCCGAAGTCAAGGCCGGGGCGCCGTTGGCACCCGAATACACGCAGGAAAACGTTGATCTTTTGCGGGCGGGGTGTTCCAACTTGGCTAAGCACATTGCTAACGCGAAGGCCTACGGGTTGCCGGTGGTGGTGGCCATCAATAAGATGTCGAGCGACACCGACCGCGAACACGATGTCATCCGCGAAGAGGCGCTCAAAGCGGGCGCTGACGATGCCATTGTGTCCAACCACTGGGAACAAGGTGGTGCTGGTGCTGTGGATTTGGCTCAAGGTGTGATCAAGGCGGCTAACTCACCTGAACGTAACTTCCGCTTCCTCTACGCCACCGAGGGATCGCTGGTGGAAGACAAAATTGCCACCATTGCCAAAGAAATGTACGGTGCCGGCGAAGTTGAGTTTTTGCCCGAAGCGCAAAAGAAGATCGATTTGTACACTCGCCAAGGGTTCCTGAACTTGCCCATTTGTATCGCCAAGACTCAGTACTCATTGTCTCACGACGCCGCGCTCAAGGGTGTGCCCACTGGGTTCAAGTTCCCCATTCGTGACGTTAGAGCTCTGATCGGCGCCGGTTACTTGTATGCGTTAGCGGCAGAAATTCAAACCATTCCTGGTTTGCCCACTCACTGTGGCTTCATGAACGTCGAAGTCAATGAAGACGGCGAGATCGATGGGCTCTTTTAAATAAATATCACGTACGATACGTATAAATCACAGAACGTTTGACGTTGCATGTCATTGTGACCGATTTTAGGGGTGTCATAGGTTCAAAGTTGTGAGTTTACGAGCGCTGGTGTCGTGAGACATCATAACGAGGCTGAGTCTTGCGGTGTTCTTTTTAAAAAAAAGGAGGAGCTTAAGACGTGGGTTTAGATGATTCAAACTTTGTATTGGCCTAGTCAATTCCTTTTCGTGTATGATCTTTGACTACCAGGCCTGTAAGGATACAAACTGTTGGGGAATCGCTTTTACCGTACCCCACGTGACTAGTGTGTTGAGGACACTATCACATACGGTTGAAAGGGATATCAGGAGCCCGGTGAGGGATATTCTGCATATAGACATTTCGGCTGTACTACACTAGGGAGTAGTCAGCATACTATTCTATTCACCTTTTATTATTGTCAATTTGATTCAACCCCTATTAACTAAGCTCAGCTTAACTTATCTCGTAAGAGAAACCCTTCCGATATTACCCTGATATCATTATGTCCAGAGATACTTCCAGGACTAGCCAGTTCAACCATCTACTGGACAGCAGAGCTGGGTCTCCGTCATTACCCCCCGCGGAGACGGTTTCCCAAGACAAACTATATTGCGGGATCTTTAAGCTCGTTGGCGAGTCAGTGATTCTTCAATTGAAATTTTGCTATCGCGTATTCTACCACACACCACGCTCAAGAAGATGTTGAAATTCCGGGAGGCAAACCATCTATTCGCGTTAATGACTTAACCCCCTTTTCGCCTCTGATCCCTATAATGTTGGAGTGACCTTTGGTTTATTTATGCTAAAATTTTATGGTCCGAGTGCGACTAGTAGTAGCGGGTGCCAACTGTAGACTCCAGTGATATTAGACTTCATACCTGAACGAGATTACGCAACATTAAATCGAGAGCTTAAATTTGGACAGTATAAAAACGACAAAAATGATTCCGCCCGGGCTCGATCCGGGGACCTCATCCGTGTTAAGGATGCGCCATAACCAACTAGACTACGGAACCTGTTGATGAATATTGTTGTATAATATCCGAAGCTCACTAATACAACACTTGTATTCTTTTCTAATCAAATCAGTCATATTTATACACCAACCTGCGGCTTCCCACTTTGCCACCATGGAAGCCTCAGGTACCTTCTTCTGCATCTGTCACATGTGTATCGAGCCTTCACATGTGACTCCGTCTGGCTTCTTCGAACCTTCCAGACCCTTCGACCAGCTTCGGAGTCATTCCTCAATAACTCCGATCTGGAAGCTAGCATTTTACACGACAAATATTTATGGTCTTTCCGTTGTTGAGTTAACCGTTCACAGTTTATACCATAATTTGTGGTTATAAGCATCAATACCCACTAAAAATAAAATCATATGTCCGGCAGCCATCAACGTGACCTCCTCCCGAGGTTGTATACATAGTTAGCGCGCCCAAATCTTCAGAAACAGCTTGCATGTTTTTGTTATTCAGGTGGAACATATCTTGGATGGCCTTCACGTAGTTGGTATTTTCATTCAAGATGTGCCTGAAGAGTTCGACCCATTCGGGCGCTCCTTGACCAGAACTCATTGCAGGTAACAACTGCGCAATTGAATTACTTGACATTGTCTTTTTGCCTTTGAGCAGTGGTTGTACACCTGAATGGTGCCGACGCCGTCTGAAACCACAGTATAACCGGCTATCACGCTTCCGCAAGGGAGAAAACGTGGTTCAAATACTCTTGGTAGTATCGTGGTATTATGTATCAAAAGCCCTTCTGTTGTCTACAGCCCAACCTTTTTCTCGCCCTATCAATCGAAGGAAGGCAAAGTCCTGGCCGGGACCAGGGGTGACTTCCGCGAGTCGCGGATATCAAATTCTTGGATAGATACTAATGCAACTTATTGAAAATATGAAAAAAAGGCAGGTCGAGCATAAGTCGGAGTCGAGGGAAAATTACCTACGACTGTACGCGCGATGATTTTGTGGTAGTGTGATTATGAAACACTAAACATAAATAATTGACTTTCGGTCGCGAACCGAGAAGTAATTGAGTTTGCAAATTGAAACAAAATAACCTGAGAACAGAACTTCCTTGGAACTAAACAACAGCCTCATATAAAATTTTAAACCTAATATAACCGCCAAAAAATCTACATAACAAACCAGTATTTTCCAACTAATATATCATCTGGCCGGTACCCTCGGAATTCGATTTCCGGCCATCACGTGACTTACTTCCGGTTTACTTTAGACCATTATGGAGAGTGCTGAGTTATAACCACTACACTATACCAGATTGATGTGGAATGAAGCAAAACAACTGATGATGCAAAAAGGAACAGCCACACCACCTAAAAAGTATCTACTGATTAAGCCAACAACAAATGCAACAACGGTAGTGGGCATGTCTGGGAAGGTGCGGGCGGGGGGCTGGTTCCCAGGGGAGTCGGCTGGTATGAGG